TATTTACGTAAATTTTTTCGTCAAACCTGGCCACTGCAGTCAAGAAACATGAGAACTTGATATATTCTATTAATTTTAGGGGCCGTAATGTTAAGTTTTAACGAAGAGAAGTTTGTAAAACAGCAAAAGTGTTCTACGTGCAACAAGCAATATTCTCACCACTAAAAAGGATCAGATTACACAAGGAGATAAGGAAAGCTTGACACGAAGAATACAGTCGCTTCTGTTGGAAAATCTGGTGTTGGGGAAAAGTTCTAACCAGCAAACAAAATAAATGAGAACAAAAACGCATTACAAGCCTAAAGCGAACGACAAAGGAAAAGAAAGCAACACCATTTTTTTCGAAACCTGGCCGAGTTCAGTTTTAAAACAATGAACTAAAATACCAACGTGCCGTACATCGCATGTCCTAGGAAACAATTCAGATGGCCTAGCGAATCATTCTAAGTTTCAATCGGATAACAAAAAGCCTCGGGAAATTTGAAAGGAGGTTTAAATGATTAAACTGTGCAAATATTTATCTACGATGTGAAACCGAACCCACAGTAGATTTGTAGCAGCTGGAGTTAATAATATTCCCGATCGCCTCCTCTGCAAAGCTTATTTTATTCTTTCAAGACACTTCACACTTTTACATGGCAGGTTTGTAAAGCCACCAGACTGAGTCTGAGAACTTTTCAAGAAAATAATCCTTGCAACAGGAAGGGACCAAGAAACGGTCAAATGGGAAAAAAAAGAAATTTTATTCCTAAGCAAAATATGCATAATTTGCTCGTTGGCACTCTATCGATAGGTATACCTAGTATTAATTTTTATCAGAGATACATGATGGTAGAAGATTTTAAAAAATGTTTGGTAATTAATTTGCTTTAACAGGAGGACGGTACGAGACAAGGCGACCATGAAAGAAGTTGTTCTGTCTAATGAGGAGCTGGATATAATCAACAGACTTCAAAGTTCCCAGTTCCCAAATGCAGGATATGATCCATATGAGGTAAAGCTTTAGGTACCAGAAAAGTTACTGAGCAAGGTAACTTAAGTTACTAGATTCTTCATTCTCGGGACCTTTACTGTCATTCTGTCTTCAATGATGAGAGGACCAAGGATGGTGAATAATTTTTGCTACCACCTTCACCAGTTTCACCAACTTTTTCACAAAATAATGAATTTGAAAAACATTTCAGAATGTTCCAAAAGAATGCTTTTCCTGGTCATCAACATTTGGTTAACTAATTTCTCTTACCACCCAGAGCTGAAAGTCTCAATGCGAAAATTTATCCTCTATGATACAAAGTTGACTTCATAAATAGACTCCGTGGACTTTCATTACATCTCAGACTAGAAGGCTTTGAAACCATGCAATCTACTTCAGAAATCATTTAATAAAAATTTCTTCAATCGCCATGGTCTTATCATCAAGAAATATGGTGCAGCCCTGTGATGAGATTAGCAATCCAGGCTTGAATTGCACCATCATATCCTTACATCACTTATTTATTACTTGCAGATTTGTATTTCAGTTGTATCTAGGTACGTATGCACGCACAGTTTTATTTTGTGCGCTTGCATTATTTATTTATTTAATTGACATGTGCATTTAGATTGTTTGAATATATTAGGTTAAATTAATGGCATTCTGCATGTTATTATACATGGTAGGTAAACTGACAGATACCCGTACTTTATTTTCTTTCACAATTAGCCCTATGTGGATTTCTTTACTGGTGAAAAGATGTTACATCCCTTGAGTGATGCACCTGAGCCAAAGTCTCGGCACATTCCATCTAAATGGGAGCACAAGAGGGTATTAAAGCAAATCATTTATTTTATACATCACTACTGACAGTAATGAAACAAGGATGTGGGGCCAAAATTAATTATAGTGAGGTTCACAATGTTACTATTGGTACTTGCAATGTGTTTAGGTCACTGGTCAAATTTGGTTTCAGGTGAAAATGTTTTAATCTAGGTTGTTTCTAAGTTTCCTTTGTTGTCTTTTGGGGCTCAGAGAGAGGAAGCTGAGAACGAAATTAGTTTAAATGAAAATTAGCCTGATATCAACTATTTGACTTTGTTACTTTTACAAAAGAAGAGTGTATCCTAATCTCATTATCCTGTGGATTTGATGTTGCTGAAGAAATAGAAATATTTTGAGGGAGTGCCATCTTCTCCTCTTTTTTTGCTTTTTTTTCCAGCTATTTTTTTGTGCAAAAACTGGGAGGAACTGGTAACTACCCTGGCCTCATGGTTTTTTTTATTAAATGCACCCCCTAAACTTCTGCAATTTCTAAAAAAACATTATTTTTGCAATAATAATGACTGAAGACCTTGGTGGCTGCATGATTGTGGTTTAGTAAAGATTTACAGTATGTTAAATTTTGACATTATTCTTATTTTAACTTATATTAAAGCTTTAAAAAGAATAAAGTTCAATGGTTATGTTACTGGTAAATGTTAAGGGAATCTTTTTAACTCTTATCACATAGGTCATGAAGATTGTCAGAGCCATCAGAAATGGCTGGATAAAACCAAAGAAAGATGACAAGGCTGACAAGCCAAGATATTACCTGATCTGGGATAAAGAAGATGACCAGGTTTGTGGCTTCCAGTAAAGCCAGGAATAAAAATGAAATCATCTCTGGTCGTCCAGGATGAGTAGATTATCTTGCTTGCGGCCTGGGCAAGTATTCCTTTTCAAGCTCACTTGCTCAGTGAGTAGGGAGCCATGCAAGTCATCTTTTAATTAAATTATTAGCTAAGGCCCTGGGTAAGGAAATGTGAGAACTGCCTTTTTAACCCTTTAAACTCATCAAATTTGTTGCTCTAGAAAAATTTTGTACCCCCTCCCCCTTCTCTCTCCATGGAGGGTTTATCAGTTTGAATATCCACCCACCCCTCTGCAAAATCCAATTTAGGTCCTCTTTTTCTCTAAATGATTTTGGTCATTTACAGCACCCCCTCCTTAATGAAATTTCTACAGACCCTCTGGGGGTGGGTGTGGATATTTTCTGGAAATGCAAAATTGTCAGAAATGTTTAAGTGTAATGTGCCAGTTACATGTACTTCAAACTTTGCCATGCTGTTTGAAAAAAAAAAAAATGATATAATCAAGTTAACATATCAGGGGCATAGCTAGGGGGGGTCCTGGGGTGCCCGTGACCCCCCCTTGGTAGGCCTTCTTTTGAGCAAACAACCTACAATATTCAGGTGGCGAAAAGGCCATGACAATTTCTTGGCTGTAAAAGCCATTGTTGAAAGGCCCACATTTTTAAAAGTTGTTTTTTTGTAAAGTACCGGTATTTTCGTCAACAGCTCTTGTCTTTAGTTAATATGGGCCTTCATTCCGCAATAATACAACTGAGCCCGCTGATACACGAGGGAGAGCAGCGGTGAGTAGCCTCTGTGACCCCCCCTTTGAAAAATCCTGGCTACCCCCCTTCATATAGTTTAGACATAACAAACATTCAAACTCTAATAGTGAAAGCCCTGTAATTTCTTATCTTGCAGACCAAACCACGACATAATATGCACATACCAGCACCCAAGATGAAACTGCCAGGTATAACTGAAATACTTATCAAGAACAGAACTTGATCGTTTGATTGTAAAAACAGTGATCAATACAGCAGTCTGAGTTCCATTTATTTTACTTTCAATTATTGGTCCTTATAACATTAAACCTTCTTAACCTTTATTATGCAGAAGAATGATAAAATAATTTAATTTTTAGGTTGTAAACCATTTCAATTCATTTGAACTTTTTTTTAAAGGTCATGAAGAATCTTACAACCCTCCCCCAGAATATTTACCAACAGAAGAAGAGGTAAAAATAACTGAAGTGCCACCCTGATTTTAGACATGATAATCATTAACAGGATGGTCAAAGAATTGTTAAATTTTGAGATAAAATTCAAAAAATTTCTCAAGGTTGTAAACAGAACAATAGACTAAAATAGTGTTTTATTATAGTATTTTTTATTGTCTTTGCTCTGCACCAATTATTACAATGTAGGAAACAGTATCACAGCCTTGTGTCCTAAGCCATATTTTTCATCGAGTGAGACGTAATGGACATCTAAAGAGCATTAAAACTAGTGATTTTTAGAGACCATTTGAACCTACTCCTAGGTTTGTGGCATCTTTATAACTACATGACTTGTTATCTTTTAACTCAGATTGCAGCCTGGGAGGCCATGGATCCTGATGACAGGCCACAGAATTTCTTGCCAAAAAAGTAAGTTTCCTTTATCTCTACTTTTTAATCAGATATTTTCTTCTCAGTATGCTGTACTTCTCTTTGCAGAGCAATTTTCACCAACATTCTTTTTGATGAAGTTTTTTTGTTGAATTATAGGTACTCCAGCCTTCGTCTTGTTCCAGCTTATAACAAGTTTATACAAGAAAGATTTGAACGATGCTTGGACCTTTACCTCTGTCCAAGGCAACGAAAAATGAGGGTGAGTTTGATTAAAAAGCACAAAGGAATTCACCTTCTCCTAGGCTTATTTTGTAACTAGTTCTCGTCATTAGATTACAACACAGTCGTGGACTCAAAAAGCCACTGAGGTTAAATGTGAGCAATGCTAAAATGAAGGCTGTCTGTCCTAGTAATAAAACTTTGATCAATGATAAGTACATGTACCACAATCACATTTGCCTTTTCAAAGTGACAACTTACTGTAGTCTTAAATGTACATTATGGTCTAGCCAGCAAAATACAATAAATATTGTTTTTCTCACCAATGTACAATACTGTTCACTTTTCTTTAGGTCCAAGTAAACCCTGAAGATCTCCTACCTAAACTACCAAGACCAAAGGACTTACAACCATTCCCCTCAACGGAGTCCATTGTAAGGGCATTAACTTGTTAAAAAAAGCTTTTAAAACATTACCAATCAAATTGGCATGAAATGCAAGTACATATAGCTACTGGAAATAATTATGAATTTGCCTTGTATATAGGTATACAAAGGTCACACAGATGTGGTAAGGTGTGTTGTTGTTGACCCATCAGGACAGTGGATAGCATCAGGTAAGCAGTGATTCGAAGCTAGGTTTGGGTACATTAAAGTGACTGGAATCTCCAGTAAAGCAAACCTTAGCCCTTTTATTCCAAAAGTCAGGGGGCTCGTTCTTGCAGGCTAAGTCTATGATCGAAATCCTATGGGATGGCCATTTTGGTGAATTTTTTTTCGAGAGCAGGGATCATTGGGAGATCCCTTAATAGTTAGATATGACGAACAATCAGCAATTTGATTGCCAACTGACGCTTGTGCTTCCCGCTCTGCTTCCCCTTTGAATGTTCAAGATAACTTTCCTAAAGGACCGTCCTAGGACATTAGAGTCCATCTTAGAGAGGTTTCCAGGGCGAAAGGAGAAATATCGAGGACGCCTGAGCATGCAAGAGGGGAGAAAAGGACACCCTTCGCGTGTTCCCCTCGCGCACGCTCTATACTAAAAAACTTACCAAAAAAGGTAACCGGCGGGTGCCACGCATGCTAAGCCAGGGCAGGCGCCGAGTTTATGTGTTTGTGATGTCCATTAAAAGAGCGGAGTTGGCTGATCGTACTCCATTAACGTATTTACCATTACCATGTCACCACACAGCTCGGGCAAGCAACCTTAAATAAGTTCACTGTCCTTAAAACGCTGTTTCCAATTCCTCTACCGCAGGAGGTGACGACAAGTTAGTGAAGTTCTGGGAAGTGTGCACTGGTCGATGTCTCAAGACTTTGCAATGTGATGGAGCTGTTCTAAGCATGGCGTGGAATCCCAATCCATCGCTAACTCTTTTGGCTGTTGTTGTGTAAGTATTTTCTTTCAGTCTTGACGGAACACGGTATAATACACGGAGAATTTGTGTCAAGAGAACAACTTTAAAAATTAAAAACAACCTTAAAATTTAACCAGGGATCAGCTTTTTGCCTAGGATTTTCGGTCTAGGACTATCACTTTTAAAATGAAAACGACAAAAAAATCAGATTTAATGATATGGAAATAACGGCGGATCATATTTTCGTCACCTGCAGGTCCTGTTTGTTCAAAAGGGTAATAACGCTATCCACCGGATAAACCTCTATCCAGTGGATAACACAATTTTGTCTGCACGATACTTACCTTCTGGACAGTGATTTATCCGGTGGATAGCGCTAACCAGCTTTTTAGTAACTCGGACCTGTTCTCAAGTGACCGACATGACAGTCGTTAACCCTCAACCTAGGGTGTGGCTTGTTAAAAGAGGAGCTTCCCTGTTAACCAGAAGGAGATACTGCAAACAAGACAAGAGGAATATTTTCGATTATTTTGCGGGGCTGTATGAATATATGGTTATCGGCATTTCCTGATGTCTTTTCAGGTCGGTGCCGACCCTTTGTCGGCCGACTGCCGGTCGTTTGTCGGCCGACAGATTTTTTGAGGAGCTATTTTAAAGTGTTACCCAAATGTAAATTTACATTTTAGAATTTACCATTATGTACTCAAAAGAAAAATGCGCTCTGCATTCTGCGTTCATGTTTTGCAGGGAACAGAGAGCCGTAATAGTGAATCATTTCCTTGGTGATAAACTCTTATGTGCTTCCACGGACGAGCTCATTGAATCATACGCTTCTCAAGGGGAAGGTATGGTACAACAACAAAAAAATGCTTGATATGATCATATCTGCAGTGTATTTGTGAAATGGCTATTTAGCGAGAACGCTCAGAAAAATAGTAGCACTTTGCCAACTTTCTCTGCACACGGTTGGAAGCAAAATACCGCAAGATTACTCTTTCAGAAGCCAGTCTAATTCCTGACCGTACTGGCTTTCGGACTTTAAAAAAATCTAAAACTTACCTTTAAAATAAATTATGTGATTTTACTTTAAAGCTGGATCGAAGGAATCCGGTGTGGAATGGTCAGTTGCAAGTGAAGAGAAGTACACGAACGGATATCGCCTGGTTATAAAACACAACAAGGCAAGTATCTTGAGGGTGGTTTTCAGTTGTGTCTAAAGTAGTTTTTGTGAGTGCACGCTTTCCTTTCTGCCTGGCTGATGAATTTCGCGCCTCTTTCCCGACCAGTAACAATTTGTTTGCACACATTTCTTCCGCTTTCGTCATAGGCCATGTGCATTTGTTCCAAATTCTGATTGGCTGGAGTAATTACTTGAGTCAAAATTCACTATTTGCACATTGCCAATAATAAGCCCCGTTTACCTCCTAAAATTTTACGTAGCCATTGTTTTCGTTCTCCTGGGACGACTGTAATCCCCAGGAGAAATTGAAAACAATGCTTTTGCAAAATTTTGAGCTTTAAACAAGGTATAGTATGGGCAATGTGAAAATAGTGAATGAAAAAGACGGAGGAAGTTGTTTCACCAATCAGTTTCGAAAACAATTACCGGTTACTTGGCTTTGTGTTTCTTTTGTGGGATCCGCGCCTTTTTCTTACCTAACCAGAAGTGTAAACCAAACCGAATAGCAATTTGTTTGCCCATATCGTATCGGGCTTGTATCGCTACTGCGGTTCACTTTTCTTCGATTTTGATTTTTTTGCTTTTGAAAACTTCCCTTTTTGACAGGTTATTTCACAGATAACATGGCATGGAAAAGGAGATTATTTTGCCTCTGTTACACCCGAAGGTAAAACATCCTTTTTCTGTAACCTTGTCCAGTGTCCATCAATGAAAACAGTGTTAAATTTGAGATCAATTATAATCAAAGCTCCGTTTTCTGAGTGATGGGAAAACGTTCTTTGCTGACAAGCTTTTGGCCAACCATGTACGTTCATGTATATATTTTTTCGAATGCCTATTTTTTTATGGATAATAACAAATCAAAGCCTCATTCATGTATGTTTTTCCTCATAGGCGGCAACAAATCCGTGTTTATCCATCAAATGACAAAGCGTCGAAGCCAGGTATTCTTAATGCAGGCTTTCTTTTCTAATGGCGTTTGCATTTACTCAACTTTGATTTCTTTTTTTTTTTCGCTTACTAGTGTCCTTTCAAAAAAGCCAAAGGTCTCATTCAACGCGTGTTGTTTCACCCAACCAGACCATTCCTTTTCGTTGCTGTAAGTAAAGTTCTTCTTACATATTCAGCTTAAAGGGTCTTAAAGAGGATATAAATCACGTAGTTTTTTTTTTGTTTTTGGCGGAAATATAGGGAGCATGCGAGCGTGAATACAACCAAAGACCATTTTCACGACGACTTTATTTTCCTAAAACTGCCAGAATTCATTTCGTTTTTGCTGTCTCATTTGATGTTAGTAATCCCAGCGTGCCCAAATTCAATCAGCAAATCAAAATGCGGAGGGGTTCTGGGTATTAAATGTTCCGTCACCATGAAGATGGCTTATTTCAAAAGATAATACTCCCTTGAGTATCGTCACGTGACCAACAATGGGTCAACAAAACCAGTAAGCCTGGGCCATTTCCGATTTGCCCTAAGCCTCTGTTTCAAAACGAGGCTAATTTCAAATGATTTTCTTTTCTCTCGCATATAACACAAGAAAGGTTTTGCACCTCGCCTTGTTTCGAAAGTGAAGGTTTTTGGAACTCGGAAATGGCCTTTTTCAAAAATACCATAATACTCTTTGTTTTCGCTCCAAAATTTAGCATATTAAGCACTGTTTTCAAGTTCTCAAGTTCCAAGGAAAAAAAGCGCTCCGCTGTCTGTCCCAAATGGCACCGAAGTTTGTCTGTTTTATTCACTCGTCTGATTTGCTTTTGTTTTTAGACCCAACGTTTTATCCGAGTTTACAATCTCACTAAACAAGAACTAACAAAGAAACTCGTTTCAAACGTGAAGTGGATCTCCAGCATGGCTGTTCATCCCAAAGGTAACAAGGGGTCGTGAAAAATACGCCGTACGTGCCGAACTCTGTAATTTGGTTCAACAGAAGTACGGCTTCAATTCAGACGTCGTGCTAGAGTCGAACTGATTAGGCAATTTTCACGATGACGCCACATTTAACTACAATGGTGGCTAGTGATGTAGCTAGCGTTTTAGGATCTCAGCTTATTACTAACGATAAATCTCTGCTGTCAACTTTTTCCATAGGTGACAATTTGATCGTAGGAAGTTATGATCGCCGATTATGCTGGTTTGATATGGACTTGTCGACCAAACCTTATAAAACACTTAGGTTAGTACTCCATTAATCACGGTTAGAACAACCATTTGCTGCCTTCTTGAAACTAAGTTATGGGAAGCCAGATTTTGTAAAGGCAGGGGGTCGTAAGGCAGACAACGGAGAGGGGGATACGCGTCGCCGAAGGAGAGGTGGGAGGGTCGAAAATTATAACCCGGCGAAGAGCGGCGTTACGTGGTAAAAGAAGGCAAGGGGACTCCCCTGAGAATTCTAGACGATTGTTTATAATGCCCCGGGGTGCCACGAGGATACCAGCACAACGCTTAGGCAAAATCTGTGGTTATTCTAACAGTGAAAGTAGTGAAGGGGAAATGGACAGAAACAAAACCTAGTTAGATCTGGTACAAAAGAATGAGGAGAGTCTCTCGAAGTCTCTTATTTTCTTTTAGTTTGACCAGGGAGCGCGTGTCATCTGTTCCCAATGAGCGGGAGTCGAGCAAGCGCGCAATCTACGAACCGAGTGGAGCGAGACAGAATTTATTCGTTCTTTATGTTTTTTTTTTTTTGCCGTAAACGTAAATACGAGGTACCTTAGTCTCGTAATTAAGCTGTACTTGCATTTTTCTATTTCAGGAGCCATAAGAAAGCGTTACGTCAGGTGACTTTTCATCGTCACTACCCTCTGTTTGCTTCCGCTAGTGATGACGGGACGGTTATCGTTTGTCATGGGAGAATCTTTAAGTAAGTTGCATTCCCCACGCCAGAAACTATAGGGGAAATGGCCACATCCTTTCGGCGCAATATGATTGGTTAATGGTTGCCTTGAGTACGATCGACCAATCACTGCACCAAAAGCTTGTACCCATTCTCCCTAGAGTTTCTGAAGTGGAGAATTTTGTTCTGCCAAGGGAGTGTAAGCACTCCCTTCCCACTCCTCCCTAAATCGAGAGGCTCCCACCCGTAAGGGAAACTGAACTTCTTTTGCACGTTGTGTTATTCTTTGTAGTGATTTGATGCAGAATCCACTGATAGTTCCTGTCAAAGTTCTTAAGGGTCACAAGGTCCAGGGAGAATTAGGTATGTTGAATATTTATCAAACTTCGGGGCGATTTCTCTGTATTCATTACGGCGGGTGGCAAACATTGTTGAGTAATTTGTATTTTTACCACTTCCAGACAAATCAGGGTCTCCTACTACTTTTTTTTTTGGCTCCGGACTGTCTAATCTAACTCGAGTAAGAGTGTTTCAATAGGATATACAAACACTGAGAAGTTCGTTGATAAAATACAGTGCAGTGAGGGTTTTTCAACCGACGTTAAGTTATTTGGATTCCCCCAGAAACACTCTTTCAAATGTTATCAGACCTTAACAACTACTGATATTTCCTCACGATATCTAAGGAAAATTTGGAGTAGCGAATTCGTTCGCTTTCTGTTCATGAATTATTATCGAACTTTAGAATTGTCTCGCCCCAATTAAGGTAATCTGGGTTACGGAATCCGGAAATTTTTTTCTTGTACAATACGGAATCCTGGGTTTTATAATCCGGAATTCATCTCTAGGAATCCAGAATCCTGCAAACGATTGTAATCCGGAATCCAAGTTCCACTGACTAAGAGTCCGGAATCCAGTACATGGAATCCGGAGTCCACGTTTCCTCAACTTAAGTTACGTCATTCTTATTACAGGCGTACTGGATTGCCAGTTCCATCCAACTCAGCCCTGGATCTTTACTGCTGGTGCAGACCATCTTATCCGACTTTACACGTGACATACCCTGCCCGTCCCGACAACATGACGGGTTGGTCCTGTGCAAGTTGTTGTCCCCAGGTCCTGAAGATGAGCTGGTGCTTCACGTAGAATGGTCACCATTTTTCAACGAAGCAGATTTTAAAGCTTTTGGCTGTCACGTAGGAGGAATTAACTGCTTTGGTGAAATCTTGCCAGATCAGAGAGACAACCCGAAGCATTATTCGTGGAGGGTCGCGTCCGCAAGAGGTTATATGTATGGATTTCTAAGAAAGATCTTGCCGGCAAAGTGGCGTTTACCGGCCTTAAGAGCCAACAAACTGGACTGGAGAAGGTTCAGCCATCTTAACGTGGGTTCATATAAACTCCAACCCATAAACTAATCAGAGGAGTTACGATATAAGATCTAGACTATTCGTACGGGCACGTGACCCACCCTATTGACGACTGAGACGTTCTTACCCTTCCAATAAATATGTACATTTATTTACAATGATCACCGTCCAGGTATTCTCTATATAGGTGCCTCTAAAAGTGTTCATGAAATTCTTTTGACCTTGTTGAAACTCAATTTTATCTTAAAAAAGTTGAAATGCGTACACGACGGTCACACTTCAAGTTCCCCTCACCTAAAAAACCTTTAAAGATTGCCGATTTTAACGTTTTATGGAACAATGAACTACAGTCAGACCCCGTTACAGTCAACGGTCGCCTTGCGGACACCCCGCTTAAATGGACACCCCGTCAACGGACAGCAGCTGTCGACGTTTGACTGAAATAAACTCTCGCGGACAATGAGGACACCTCGAGGTCCCTTAAATGGACACCCCAGAGAAAGTGTCCGTATTAATAAGGTGTCCCTTTAAAGCGGGTTGAAATTAGAGAAAATGTAAGACCTTTCTTTTCTCAGGGACAAAGCAAACGGACAGTTCTAAGAAAAATAAATGCCGTGGTCCACTCTATTAAATACGCGAAAAACAAATTACAGACGTTTTGACTGAAATAAAACGGACAGCAGCTAAATGAGGAAAAACAAATAACTGAAATAAACTCTCGCTAATGAGGACACTAACTCAAGGTCCCTACTGTGTCGGAAATAAACGGCGTTGACTATTTCCGAGTTTCCCCGGGCCTCTGTATCAAAACGAGGTTAGGTGCTCATCCTTTGATATGGAAATGATTTTTCATTCTCATGCAAATAAAACTCATTTTAACAAGCAAGGCTGTACACTTGGCCTCATTTTGAAAGTGAGGGGTTTTGGAACTCGGAAGTAGCCCATTGTATCTTGCGTTTTGACCACTTTCTAGTCTCTATTCCAAATATATTTTTCTTTTTTATTATGGGGGAAAACGGCAGATGGTCATACGAGAAAACACCTTAACGCTCTGTACATAATTATTTACACACCGAATAAATATGAGAACTGATATGTTGAGTACAGTGTCATCTTTGCTCGGAGAACATTTTTTGTAAAGTATTTACACTATCATAGCAAGTTTTGCTGTATTTCTCTTCTATGCTCGCTTGTTCACCTCCTGAAACAACAATAATGACAATGTTAAATCAATATTACTACACGGTATAGTGTGAACATAGCCTCGAAGTCTCTATTATAATTTATGTTAATATATGCCATTCATAACTATATTACGGACTCGAATTAAGATGTTATCATGTGACAAACCTGTTAGCAACTTTATTTCTTCAAGTTTCTTTACTATTCCCGTCTTCTTCAATGAAACTTTGGCCTGGGGGCAACAAAACAAAAAAGACAAAACAATCCACTAACAAAAAGTGAAATATCTTGAATAACATCGGCATTACAACATGAGCACAGACGAGAACTTCGTCTGAACTTATGATGTGTACAAAACTTTGCTACTACAGCGAATCACTCGAGGAATTTTCGAGGTATACCACGAGAAAGCATTGCGACAAAGTTACCTTTTGGCAGTTGTGCACCAGAGAGCACAAGGCAGACAAACATAAGGCTCTGAGATAAATGGAGCTGTCAGTGGTAAAATCAACGAGAAGAGAAAGAAGTTTCTCTAAAAACAAACATGAAAAAGAAAGGTTAGTTTAACGACAAATTTTGCAAATACCTTGTGTTCAACTGCTAAACAAAAATCGAATCAAGGAATTCTTGTTATGGGGGTCCACCGGTTAACCAACACTTTCCACCCTTCCAAGTCGTTACAAATTAGTTTATACTTCGTAGACCCTTGCTGTCATGATAAGTGCAGCACGTGTGACGTTCACCTCATAAAGGATACTGTTTTGAAATAGTCGTCTCTTGTATCAAGTGATAAAAACATAAGTTTGTTCACCAATTTACCAAACTCCCAACAGGCCATGGTAGAAAGGCAATGTGCAGCACAAGTTTCATTTTTAAGTCACGAGATTAAAGTTGTTACTACTTCCGCTTGAAGGCAGAGTTTGTTAAGTAACTTTAAAAAGAATCCTCCGGGCTAGCGGTAGTACTTTAATACTCCCGCTATTCCGGAGGACTTAAAAGTAGTGACCAGACCCCTCCATCCCATCATCGGGAAAGTGCCCTGACAACGAGGTACAAAAGCCAGACTGTACATAATTTTTTTCCCGTAGTTTGCAACTTGTCTTATGTCTTCCCTTACCGTTCACCAAAAGAACAGGTTTGCTGGCCCCATGAAAGCACAAATTCCTCAGCACAAGTATGGCCTTCTCTTGTAACTGCTTGTTCTGGGCTCCACTCAGTTCTAAAAGCACCTCCACTACCCCAGGAGTCTTGACCACACCCTGTTGCCCATCTGTGAAGAATGTTACGTTCACCAGCAAGCTGAGCCAACAGAGGGTCACGCTTCGGGTCACTGATCTCTGCTTGGGGTGGGTTCCACTTGTGAGAGGCTTCAAAGAGGAGAACGGCTGGAGAAAGTTTGTCTGCAGAGTATTTGAACAAGACAATTTCTTCAATCAGTAAATGAAGCAATCATTCTTGCCATTAGTCAATGAACTAGCCTGAAAATAAAAACAGCCGACATTTTTGCGGCGCCACCAGTGGTTTCCCCGTGAAATGACGTCTGAGGAACAGCAGAAATTCTACACTGACGGCACGTCACTGCCCAGATCTCGGTAGTGCTTCTGATTGGCTGAAGCAAATTTTCAGCCAAAAAAAAAATTGCTATCAGGGTGTCCGTTATAGCGAGGTGTCCGCAAGGCGAGCGATGACTGTATTACTATTTCTATTATTAAAGCAAAAGATTAATATACGCAGCACGCAAAGGAAAAATACCAGCAAGTGCTTAGGACCATAGAAAGAGAGGCGCGCATGTGCGTCTTTAGTTTAATTGGAATAGCCATGTGCCGCGTCATGCGGTGTAAGTAAATATATTTACGTGATATGCCCAACATCCTACCTTCCACATGACTCCTCTGCATTCAGCACTTAAGGCCAAGTTACTCAACAGATTAAATATGGCCCTGAGCACAGCAAGATTAGTCTCCAGTTCTGGGCTGGAGAAATTTTGAAGCTTGCTGTTTGTTTTATTGGTCAGCTTGATAAGACTGTGTAAAAATGTGCTCCCGCTTTGTACGGTGCGGCTGACGCTTCCGGGGACGCCTGAGCTGCCAGCGATATATGCTGATGCTGCGAAAGAAATAGTGGGGAGTTTAAGATGACACGACGGCGACGGCAACTAGAACGTCGAATAATCGCGAGATTGATTGAAAGAACGCGTATTCACTTAAAAAGGGAATTCAGCATCAAGAAAACGACAAAAAGCTCACACGATAATTACAGTATCCGAGAACGATAGTAGCGAAGTTAATTTTCTCTCGCGTTTTTCATGAACGTGGAAGCCCTCACCTTCACACCGTAAACGGCCAAAGTAAAAAAGGCGGGAAAAAATAGTCACGCGGTCAACTATGCTGTTTGCTGTTTCTAAACTCTCCAGTATTGTAACAATGTTAGTGCAAAGTAAACTGCGACTAGGGACATTAGTTTTACTGAACACGCACCTTTGGGGAATTGTGCTGTCAGTGTGGATAAGACACGTAACACCTCGATAAGTAGACGCGGCTCCACCGTGCACCAGGACCATAACTTGTGCAGCACATCAATAATACCACTCTCCAAACAAGCAGTCTAGACAGAAAAAAAGGACCGTTACACGTTTCTGGGAAACTGCCCACCTACCCCTCCCCTAAACCAACACTAACATTTACTTCTTACTTAGCTCAAAATGTTAGCTTAGGGGAGGGGTAGATGGGCAGTAACGGACACCAAAAATTACATAGTAGCTGGATGAAATGTTTCCTTAACTTTGTATCTTAACGGGCATTTCCTGTTATCCTTTCCATCCTCTTAAAAGAAACAAAGACCCTTTAGGGGCCAATTGACATTGAGTTCCACAATTTTGCGACAAAACTGAGCTGAAATTAAAGCTAAGCATCTCCAGTCAACTTTTTGTTTCATACTAGGAACTCTATGGAGAAGTTTAACGATTCTTTCAGAAGGAAAACATTCTGGTAATTTTTCCACAGCACAATAGCTGAACTTGAAAAAGCTCAAGGACGCTCACTTGTAGTTTAGGTAGATTAACCTTAAAAATAAGAAAGAAAACTCAGATTACCTTGACTGCTGGACTACAATGGATGAAGTTTCTCAGAAGTTGAATGGCGTCCATTAGTTCTGTTACCAAGGGATCTTCCTGCAGAGAATTATCATTGCCAAGGAAAACGTTTTAGAAGTTTTAAACCCGAGTTTAATTGCGATTCAAAGAGGAAAACTTCCATAACTTTACTTGTCAATTCAACGGTTTGGGAAAAAACACGGAAAGATTGATTCCGCGTTCCACGAATAAATACACAATCCTAGTCTTTTTAGCAGGTTAGCAGAAAAAAAAGTGTACGAGAAAACGCGAGACAACGGGCATGTTCTCCTACCTTCCTTTTCCATGAAGGCCCTTTTTCAAGCTTCAGTGAGTTCATGTTTAGCTGAACATGCACGTGTTTTATGTGCTCCAAAGAGGTTTCAACAAAACCAGCTGAAGAAAAATTAACATTGAAATTCATTTTGTTGAAAAATACAATGGAAACAGAGGTATAGAAGAGAGCGGTCACAATGCGGTTAAATTCTCTCACGTAAAAATGTCTGATCCGGCGGATTTCTTTAATGCTACCGATTTTAGTGTACACAAGCTTCCCTGTGTAGAGTCTTTGGTTGGAAAGTCGCAAACTAATAAATAATAGATAACAAAAGAAATCACTATGACCGCGAAGGAAAAGCTAGGGTTTTTTAGGAGCGCCACCATGCTCCCTGGCTCAGAACGAGTACTTTAATTAGCTAACAAAACAATAGATGAATGACCCAAACAATGTCCCTATCCCCAAAACGGTCACAGGTATTTTTTCATAAAGTAAACTTACATTTCTATAGTCTTCAGTCACCACAGTTTGTGATTTGTCAACCAATTAGAACTGAGCAATCATGAAGCCAGTTGCGACATGTACGCACGCGTTTCTTACCCTTGACGCAGCAAGTATTTTATTTTCTGGTTCTGATTGGCTTATTGGACGAGCCTACGTCTCTTATGATTGGTTTACGTTTTATGGTACTTTCTCTTTCAACGCTGAATTTTGTCTGCGCTGACACCCTACTCTCCCTTCTCAGCGACCAGCCCTTCAACCCTCAGTTCAAGCTGAGGTGGTAAAGTCTAGAACTACTGGAACACGAGTTCAGTTATATACTTGACAAAAAAAATCGTGCCCCTTTTTGATCTCAACTCATACCCACCTTGTAAAGCTGTATCTTTGGCTGAGTTACTAAGAGCCAATAAAGAGCTGAGAACTGCAGGCACCAGGCCTCTCTCTTCATCCGGGACGTCTACGCTCCGCGATTGCGCATGTTCATAAATATCAAGCAAAACTCCACACATTTCACTTCCGGTAGACTCAGCACACGCATTGCTTTCACCATTAAGGACGTTTTGCTTTTCGCTGTCTTTAACTGAGTCCAGTTGATGTACGCGGGCACTTTCTATCTTGTTATCCAGTAGAAGAGTCAAACGATTCATTTTTGTTGGTTTATCGCCTCTTTCTTCACTCAGGCCTCTCCCGTTAGTACAGCGTTTGCCCTCCACGGTTAGAAGAAGACCAAGGAGCTTCAGCAGTAAATTTCTTAGGCAGGAGGGGGAGGGGGATTTGCTTTCTTTAAGAGAGCTTTTGAACACACCTGAAGAGTAGATCAGAGCGAGAAATCTCGGGTTATTGTCATCACAAAAAGTTGTTTCCACATTCATATGAGTAAGAGTTTGGTCTTGCGCAAGAAATAGGGAGGTCACCATTTTCTCAACACCGCCCTCCGTAAGTGAGATCGTGTATACAGCCACAAGAAGGCTATAAAATGTTAATTCATGCAGACCATTCGGCTTAAGTCAGCGTGACCCTTCATCACAAATATCACTACGACTTGGAAAGATTATTGCAGTTGCAAAGGCTATTTGTTACTAATTTAAAGATCATTATCATAATCTACCTGTGAATAAACTCCAGTTGCTAAACACTGTCTCTTCAACCACGCTAGGAACAGACAACTGGCCTTGCTTCTGCAGCAGTGTAACCAGGAGCCTGCATACACTCTCCCATGCAGCATAAACAAGGTTTTGAAGAGTGTCATCTGTGAATCAATGATCAGTAACACTGGTAAGTCTCTTCAAGCTTTTAAAAAGGCATTATTAGAAATCGACTTAGGGCGCAAGGATTGTAGTCCATACCACTACACCATGGCGGATTTTCTGGCACGAACGTTTCTGATTTACAGATTTATAGTGACAACGCTAACAACCATCTCGAGTCAGTGCCTAATACTTTAGTCAATGCCCTAACAAATATTTTCAGAGCTTTAACCCCAATCACTGCGGTCACTCCTCGATGAGGAATAAGGAATTACTTTATGTAGGCATCATAACTTTAAGGTACCCATCGCCACTCTGGTGGATGGAATCGGAGGTTATGTGGTTAGTTTCTAAGAATCTTAAAATGATCCCAATTAAGCATTAGATGCCTAGCTTCTTATTGTGACACTTAAGAAGTGAAGTACATTTAGGAAGAGCTAACCTGCGCAAGGGCAACATATTGAAAATAACCGCACAATCCTGTCAAGAGCTTCCTGGTCTTGCAGCAAATTGAAACAGAAGATAGTATTCAGTTGCACAACAGAGTGAAGGAACGCCAAAATATCGCTGTACATGGAGAGTATTTCCTTGATAACCACTCTGGCTGCAGTGGACAGAGGCAAGGAGTCTTTATCACTGAGAAAGCTTTGCACTCTTGAGGATTCAATATGGCTGTGGACAAAAAAGGAAACGTTTAAAGCTAAAAGACCATAAAACTGAGACCATATCAATCCACAGCCGGGGAGAGGTAGTTTTCGGCATCCTGTCTCTTGCCACCTGGAGGTAGCCGCCTCAAAAAGTTTTAAGTTGGTGCTGTTTGTGTGTATAAATGTATTTTTTTAATCTGACTGATACATAATATTGAAAAACTATTCCAGGAGAAAGATGGTTATTGACAAGGTATGGTACTGATTATGTTGATAATAACGATGAGGTTAGTGTTGATGATGATGATGATGATGATAATGATGATGATGACGTCATTGATCACGAAGTTGACAACAGATTAGATAATAATTCAGTTGTTGCAGGAGATCCTGTTTGTTGCTGTTGCTTCTGCTGCTGATGATGATGATGTGGTGATGATGATGACGATGACAATGTCATTGATGACTATTATTAATCTTATTATTGCAGTTGCTGATAAGTTCTCGAACCTCTTGATAAATTGACTAAAAACATTCCTTTCCTGGTCTAACAAGGTACATGTATCTTTACCCCCAATTTTTCTCGCCCTCCGATAAAATCGCGAGTCCAGTGTATTTCTCCTTCAAATACTTACTCAATTAGCGAGTTCAGAATCTCAGCCTTGTTAAGAGCTGTAATAATATGTCCAGGAGACAGGAAGACTACGTTGTGCAACAGGCGCGCCATTGCACCAATAAGTCCTGGGGTGACTGATGATCCTGTATAAACTGATGTAGTCCCTGATGATGCCGTGGAACCTGCTGAACTACTCACATTGCTGCTGCTTGCACTGGACATACTGAAACCAACAGAACAGATCTGATCAGGTATAACTACAATCATGGACAAAAGTCTTGGGACAAATTTACATTTGTGGCGCTTTTTCAAATAACACATGCCCAACTCCCCCACCCAACAAACAACTTTGGACGCGTGTATCCAGACTGGTCGCCGAGTTTCAAAATAGTATAGGTGGGGGAAGGGGTGGGGAAAGAGAAAAGCGCCAGATATTTTCAAAAAGGTCGCACTGTTTTATGAGAACACCAAGAAATTACAGAAAATTATGAATACTACATCACCGTCCCGAGGACGTTCAGCTAGGACTGTAGGTCATTCTTAAAGTTGTCTTAAAAAAAAAAGGTTAAAGGCATGTTTATAGTGGAAGATACACTTAGCTAGTCAGCTAATTTACAGGCACTCCACTCAATTATTTAGAAACAAATAATTCAAATACAACATAACAGGATTAAAAACCCCAACTGGCAGAAGGCAACCAGTTGGCTATTTACAAGCGTGGCCGAGAATTTGAACTCGGGACGACCGAGCACAAATCCAGCAAGTGGCCAGAGCGGGACTCGAACCCGGGACCGCCGGATTGCGAGTCCAACGCGCTGACCACTCGGCCATGCTGCCTCCTCTTGTCTTCCATTGGAATTAACCATCTTCAAGACTCTGGCTTGTGAAACAAAAAAAAATAATAAAGCACACCTGTGTCTTTAGAGGCCTGCATTTCTTTACTTTAAACAACTTTACCGAGGTCTTTTGTTGCGACCATTCAAACCAAACGTCTTAGGCAGCACTGTTGTACGGTAATGTTCGTTTTCCAGTAATTTACAAAGTGACATTTGGAACATCTCTCTTATTTTGATTTTGGTTCGTGATTTGATTCAAATAAACTAATCATCTCACGTTCAAAAGAAAAGGGAGAAAGGAAGGCTAACTTGTTTTTGCTGAAACTACTCGATGAAAATCTGTGCCTACAGTTGATTTAGTTCCATAAAGAGAAGAGTGCTAAGAGGCAGACGTTAAGCAAATCTAAAAATACTTTGCGTCTCTGTTCTAAAAAAAAAAAAAAGACCTTCAACATTCTTAGAAGGGGCCCAACGAGCCAATTCGTGGAATAAATCCTGTTTAAGCCAGCATGAGAGTCGGAAAGTACGCAAGAACATACCCACTTGGAAGACCTCTTTCATTAATTAGTGGCACCAGTGATGTGGGTGTCCTTGAGAGCTGTGTTTCCGGTGCGGATGACGACACCCCTGACAGCATGGTACTAGAGGTGTGCGAAGCAACGGAGACGACTCCTGGGCTAACTATGCCATTAGCTGATTCAGTGGTAGTTGTTTGGGCCTCTGAGCTCACACTGCCAGGCTGTGATTGGGATCGGGACGTTGAACTAAGGGGCTTGTAAGGAATGTCTGTATCGGTGCCTGATGAGACGGACGCTGTAGCAGAGCTCTGGCAGGCCCTGTTTGTTCCATGTGAGTCCGCCAATGGAAATGCACCGATAGAGAGCATGTTGGAGAGCTTCTGGAAAAACTTGAATTGGTCAAGTAAGGAGAGAACAACTTGAGTTCCCTTGGAGCCATTCTAAAAACAAAAAAAAAAGAACACGCCTTACTGGAAAGGGGGTTCATACAAACGTGGGGAAAATATTCACCAGGGTTCGTACTCTTTTGAGCGACTTTTCGTGACTTTTTCCATGACCTTAGTTTTAGCTAGCTCAGGCCTGGAAAATGAAATTCTTAAATTTCATGACTTTCCAGGTTTTCCATGACCTGTACGAACCCTTTTAAGCCATTTGTAGCGCGCAAACTCGGTCAATAAAGGATTTATCAAAGAGCTAATAAAACGAATTCATCAAGAGGAAACCCGTCCCCACAATGACTGACAATTAAAATAGGTCTTTACCTTGGATTGGTCTGGTTGTTTAGACTCAGTGACAACATTTGCAGGCGACAGACCACTGACCAGACTGCAAAACAGTAGGCCTGCCTAAATAGCAAACAAAACAATTCAAGTACACTTGAACAATAACTAAAAGCCTATAAGTAAATAGGTATTATACAGGCAGAAAAGTTGACCATAAATCTAGGGTAGTGTAATTTATTCACCCAAATGGCTTAAAATCGGACTCTAGACAAACATTTAACTTGTTATAACTCAGGTTACAACTCAAGAGCAAAAGTAGACTACTTCTGAGAAATATGGTTATTTAAGGGCATAGCTAGCCTTCGTTGCAGACGAAACTTAACTCTGGTTAAGTCCGTCTGTGAAACAGCGCCGAAATCCAAGTTCAAGGCCCCCACCTGTGTACCAAGATTTGTGTACGTGCCATGATTGGCCTGTTAAAAAAGTCATTGTCGATTTGCCAATCTAGATGAAAGGAAATTCTTGGAAACGCGCTTCCGGTAAGTCGTTAAGTTCCTTGGAGGCCCAGGGGCCCGTTTCTCGAGAGTCCTGGTAACTTTTCGGGCCCGCAATCAAATATTCAAATCGAAATATAAAGATTAAGAGCGCGGGTTCTTGGCTAGCAAACTACTCCATTTTGTTTCATTAACTGATTGGTTTATCATGTTAGGTGCAAAACTACTGAACTCTATCTTGCATGTAAACCGACAACAGCTTAACGGGCCCGTTTTTATCGGGACTTTCGAGAAACGGGCCCCAGAACAAGGATCTCGGCGCTACTTCGTAGACATTAATAACCGGGGTTAAATTACGTCTACGACGCAGGCTAGGGCATAGCTGGTGAAAGAAAGAATTGGAATACTTCAACAGATCAAACGAACCTGTTGTCTAACAAGACCACATTCCATTTCATCCAACAGAATGCTAAGCACAAAGTTCCATAAGCCCCCTACAAATTTCTGCCCAGCAACTTTAAGTACTTCTCTCCCTTGCTCACTGACTGCAAGACTTGTACAGATAGAAAGGCCAGTCCAACGAATATCTGGCCATCGGTCTGTCAACAAAGGTACAAGCCAAGAAAGTGGATGTTCTTGAGGGTCTTGAGTTCTTAACCAATGTGAAACCCACCTCTATGAAAAAAAAAACAGTAAGTAATTTGTTATACCTACCGCCGTTTGAATCTACTTCTTCAAATAGTTACTCAAACCTACAAAACGTCTCAATAGACAAAATTTTGATGTTTTTTAACAACATCCGCCTCCACTATCGACCCTAGTAAACTATCCTCTTCCTCAATGCAAAATTCAATGTTGGTTATCTTTTTTCCCGACTTTTTAAGTTAAAACTCGAGTTATCGAGGGTAAAATTATATAGAAATGACCTGATCTTACACACCAACATTGGTTGGGGTTCGAGTTAGCGCGATGGGGGGTTCGAGTTATCAAGAAGACATCAAAGTGTCTCAATAATCTTTTTCAACTTCTGGCCCGTCTGAGACTATCGCAGTTAACTCACCACATCGTACACACCAACATTGGTTGGGGGGGATGGAGGGCAAGAAGACAGCAAAGTGTCTCAATAATCTTGACTGAGACTGTAGTAACTCAAACAATGACTTACTTGTGTGGGATCAATGACAGCCATCTCATGAGTAAGATGAGCCAAACATAGGCTGGAATAATATGTAACACCTTTACCCATAAAAGATGAACTGGCACCAAGTCTGCCAGCATGGAAAGCTAAAACGACCTGAGGAAGACAACAGAAGAGTCAAACCAAAAGGTATCGGTTGATTGGCCTTAAAGATCACAGAAGAAAAGGATTTCAACTGCTATTTGAATTGTATCCTAGTAGCAGGGCTACTAGGATTGTTTGTTTTGTTGGCAGTTGAATTATGATGGTCTTGATGATGATGATGATGATCAGTTCAGTTCAGTTTATTGTTTTGCAATAAAGATATACAAAACAAAGAAGTTCTAAATATTTAAAAGCTAATGGCAAGGAAGCCCATGGAAAACCACCGGGCTTGTAAGGAAAGAGCTTCCTCAATTAAATATTACAACAACTACTACAATCATGACGATGATGTGATGATGATGATGACGATGATGATGATGATCAAAATCACGATCTCTATCTGCGGTTAATTAACAAATGCTCATTTGCTCTTGACTTGAAAATTGCTTTACTTGAAACACTTGCCTGTATCAATGAGGACATTAGTTGCAGACATAGGCTCATCCCTTGAGAGTATTTAGAAAAGGAGCTCCAGTGAGGCTGGGCGGTGACATGTACTAAGCAGACTAGTGAGGTCTCAAGCACTGGAAGATCATAAAACTGTGGGTTATCTGCTAAATCAAGATTCAGGGCCAGTGCATAAGCTAAGTCTCCAATGAAAATTCGTTCTTTATCCAACCTCCATCCCTTGGTGTACTGAGACAGACACTTGACCAAAGTCACCAGGAAAGAGAGCAGATGTTTACGCAGTGCTCTGCAAATAAAATTTGGTTGCACATGAGTATAACACTTAAGTGTTCTGGACAATGCCAAATCAGTTTCACTGGCCCGTGTGGAACTAGTCTCTGTTCTTTGGAACTCAGGTTGTTTTTCTCATGTCATAGGCAAAAGTCAATCTTTGACACAGTGGTACGTTCCTTGAGGTTGGCGTCACTACTTTTATTACACCCAGAGTATTACACCTGAGCATTCCTAGCTAATGTCATCCTTATAAAGCTCTGCTCGAGTTCGCGCGCTCGAGTGGAGCCCCATAGTTAGGAAAAATTGGTTATCTATCCATCCGAGAAATTTTGGTAGTCACGTGACAGTACGTCCGTCGGTCTGGACTACAGGGCAATCAATGTGAAATCTCACTCTTTCTAGCTGGTGTGGAAGCCTGCAACCTGATATTGCACATCCATATTTTTGTAAACTGATAGCTGTCAAAACAGGGTAACTGCTGACCGGTATCACATGACCATATTGTGGGCTCGGGTGTCGACCCATTGAGGTTGCGTGCTTTTTGAAGTTATCTGCTGAAAAGTTCCTAGTTTTTAACTGATTGCAGGCTCAACTCCTAGGGATTTCTTTGCAATGGTTAAAAGTTTATTGTTTGAAGACAAGTTAATTTAAAAATCATTAACGGGAGCTTCGCCTTTAGCCTTGGCTAAACCTCTATATTGGGGGTTCTACTCGACTAGTTAGCAGTCATGACAACAAATGGAGTACTGTACTTTTTTGACTCAGAGAGAGTGTGTGAGTTTGCACCACTTGCTTGAACATTTCGCAGCAGAGTCATCTGTGGTCCATCTCTATGTAATACAGTTCTTGCTACCCAGGCCACCACAGGTTCTGGAGGCTGATGAGGACTGGAAAGGATAATACCTAACACATGGAGCAGTTCTATCAGCAGACTGTCATCATCTCCGCTGTTTGGCACTACCTGAAGGTATCTGTATAGTCAAAAGGACAACTATTATTTTGAGACATTATACACTACAGGCCCCGGTTGTTCAAACGTTAGATAGCACTATCCAGCAGGCCCCAGTTGTTCAAAAGGTGGATAGCGCTATCCACCGGATAAATCGCTATCCAGTGGATAGTGCAATTGGTTTCCCTAATACTTATCCTTTGGATAGTGATTTATCCAATGGATAGCGCTATCCAACTTTTGAACAACCAGGGCTAGATAAATCACTATCCAGCGGATAAGTATTAAGGACACCAATTACGTTATCCAGTGGATGGTGATTTATCCGGTGGATAGCGTGATCCACCTTTTGAACAACTGGGTCCAGAAGAGCAAATTTGGTGAGACAAAAATTGCAAAATGAATAATTGTAGGATCTCAATATTATTATACTGGGCACAGGGATGTGCTCTGGCAGCACCTGGAGGCCCCTGGTACCTAACTTTTGCTCTTGAGCAAGACGGGTCAATTTAGGTTTCTGGGAAACTACCCACCTACCCCTCCCCTAAGTTAACATTAACACTTACTTCTCACTTAGGGCAAAATGATGGCTTAAGGGAGGAGTAGGTGCACAGTTTCCAAGAAACCTAAATTGATCTAGCAAGACTAGGAAATCTCAGCTTTGCAAAGAATAGGTTCCCTAGAATTTTTCTTGTTCACAGCCTTGATGCTGCTCAGAATATGTGGTAAAAGACAAGTCTTATCACTCTTTGCAGAGTACCATGCCTAATCCAGATGCTAAGAGTTGAAGCTACAAATAAATAGCACAACGTTTCCAGACACAAAGTCAAAGGTAAACATAAAACCATTTCTATGTAGAAGATACTTCCCTAAAGTAAAGGTGGACCCCACTATATAAATGATCGCTGGCACCTTAGTGCAAAAAATACGGTTAATGGGAGATGATAACTTCTCAAACTCATTAATAATTCATTAAGAAAATACAAAGGAAATTAATGTTTAATGAGTGTTTGGAAATCGGATGAAACACTGCTTAGTATTTGCTTCCTTAATTTCTCCTTCAAAAATGATTTTGTTTGAGAAGAAATATCAAACATTGATGGAAACACCTCGAAGTTCGTCAAAAATAAACTCTCTTCTCGGTGTTTCATCTGGTGATGAATATTTCTCAAATTTGCGCAAACAAGATCGCCTACAGTTTAAATAACTACTTTACATCATTCACGAACAGGTACAGTTTAAATGGAAAAAGTTCTAGTAAACAGAAGAGGGCAAACATGTGTTATAACGACATTAACTTGAGATCCCTTGACATCAAAAGATTTTTCTTCAACAGACGTTTTGTTTCAAGTTACCGCATTCACTTCTCCACAACTCAGTCCCCTTATCTGGGGGTTAACAAATACGTATCTCTATAGGGTATACCTTTCAAATGCTGCTTCCCATTTCAAGGTGTACAGGACCTCCACCGAGAGCCTTTGGCTTACACCAGGCTTTGCTCCTTTATCAGCAAGTAGGTGTGCCATAATTTTACTGAGAGCTACTTTTGCATCATAATGAGAGCTCGCATTCTCCATACATTGCAGCTGATTACTCAGTGCAATGGCAACATGGCTACAATTGAGCAAATCTGCATCAAGATTCCTCCACTGCAATACTGGCCAGTACCTACAAGGTTCATGTGGATGTTGTGGTCCTTGGTTAAATTTTTTTTCCCTTTGTTTTGGCATATGAGTTCAAACAAAGGAAAATAAAAATTGAACCAGAACATGGACATTAACCCCTACAAACTTTTAAGGCGATTTTTTGTTGTTAATCGACTCTCTGCACCTGAGGACAAATTCCTATGATCATAGTTCATTCAAATGAAACCTCCTTGGTTGTTTTTAACACAATGCTATGTGCACTACTTACGGAGTGGAATGAAAGATTTCTCTTGAATTCTAATTTTAAAACACCTTCGCAGTTGGTATGTCCCACCACCACCAATGTAATCATACAGATTACATGACATCAAATGACAGGCAATTACAAGCTGAAATGTTTTATTGCAGACAATAACATTAAAAAAACCTCCAAAATTTGTTCATCATGTATTTTTTAACTTTTGGCAGGTCAGTAGCCTGATTCTCAGACGTCCGAGGTTGTTCACGGTCTCTTTGCTTTGGGAGGGAAGCGAAGGACTGCAAACGACCTCGGACGTCTGAGAATCAGTCTAGCAGGTCAGGAGACAAAAACAAAAAGTGAAGAATTGGATATCTTTCAGCTCCATGTCATCCGCCATCGTTGGTTAATGTCACTTTGCAAAACGTTAGTGTTTGGTGAATTTGGAACCTTGTTTTCCAAAACAGGCTGAGAAATGAAGATTGTGTCTTCCATAAAACACCTTTCCATTAAGAGAAAAAAGTATTTGCATTAATTGCACTACATTTTCAAGATGTCTGATGCTGTTTAAATGTTACTAACTTATTGATTCAAAAGCTGCAGATATCCTGTATCCTTACCCCACATCTCTGTCTGACCGCCTTGTGTCCTCAACACCTTTTACTCTAGACAGATTCTCAATGTTTTCATGCCAACCTAGGTTCCAGGCCAGCCTTAGCCTGGAAACAGCTGGTTCTGAAGTTAGCGAGTCTTTAAGCTGGAAGTCTGGTACTTGATGAACACTTACAGGGGTGTGGACAGGTGGAGCAAATGGGAACTGATATCTGTGGAGCAAATGCCAACTAGTTAGCTCTAAAAACACCCTCACTGCCTAAAAAACAGGTATAAAATGAACAGTTTGCATTCAAATAACAAACTTTCTTAGCTAAGCATTTGACTCCCAGAATTATAGAGAGGTGGCATGTAGGTGTAATTTTTGAGTCTGTACAGAGACTAAATTCTACGCAGTGGCAGTTGTAAAGGTAAAATAATTTACTGACAAAATAAAGCTGTTCTGGGAACAATTTTGTTTTAGAACCATGGCTACACACTTGTAAATATTTTATCAAATTGACTCCTGAATACCACAGTAGACATTACTTCCCAAGTGTTGTACCTTCTTTAATATAAGCACTTGCATGGCCACCACGTTTGCTCAACTCCTATAAACAGATTCTTTTTCTGATGGTGTGCTCAACCTTACAACCAGACTTGGAAAACAGCTCTTCCACCAGGATGGTCAAGCTGCCAATATTGTCTACAGTTTATTTTTTTGTGAAGGATCTATTGATAATGCTTTCAAAAGCATAGCCACGGCATTCTTATTAAATGGCATCAGATAACCCAAAGCAAATTCATGCTACATTCTGATAAAACTTTGTCACTTATAGGCATTCTTAACATTAAAAAGTGGCAAAGTCATCCACTGATAAACCAAACCGTACATTAAATTCATTGGTTTCCAATACATCTTGGATAGCGCTGTCTAGTATTGGAGCCTGAAACCTACCTTCTCACCAAAGACTTTGGCAAACTGAAAGGAATGCTGTTAACTTTGTCAGGCAGTGCCATAGCAACTTCATCAAAGAGCAGGAGAAACATCAGGCAAGCAGCCTCATACTTAACTTGACCATTGGACTGGCATAAGAGAGCACATCTAAAACAAGAAGATGACATAGGCCTTTTGTCTGTACAAATCAGTATTTATCAGTGATTTATCTACAACAAACATATTACTGTAAACTAGTTGATAATTGATTCATTTTAAAATAGCTGTGTGAACCCCAGGGTTCTCATTAAATCTTACAGTACACAGCTAGGATATAAAGTAGGCGGCTTGGTAATCAAGTGCTGTAGGTAATTTCGGGCTTTCACTCTCTCACTTTACCCATTTTTCCACAAAAGTAGACAGCTCAGACCTCAAAGTAGGTAGTTTTTTAGCCGGTTGCCGGCACTCAATGAGAACCCTGGTACCCTTACGTTATCATCATTATTACAACCATAATTCACATTTCCTTTGAATCGATGGTCTCAGTGGGATAGGGTACACCTATATGTGGGTAGGAGAGGCAATTCCTCAAAGCTTGAAATAAGGTTTATGATCTCAGTCACCCAGCCTCCACTTGTGATGAAGACATATTGACATTAAAGGTTTAAGCAATAATAAACAGCAGACATTGACAAACAGTACAATGCAAGACTAACGAAAACACTTGCTATAAATAGTATTTTTCAGCCCAAGGAACTTCTCTATATAATCATATATTCCATCTCTAGTGATACTATAAGTACAAACGTTAGTTACTTGGGTGTTTTTTTTGGTTCTAAAAGGATAATGAACATTCAGTGTCAGGTTAACATTGTAACAAGAGTATAAAGTATCTTATGTGCCAAAAGGAAGCACTGTACAGTTGTCGCAGATCAAGAGCTTAGACAAGAAGATACCAGGTAGGGTGCAGTTGAGGAGTGAAGTCATAAGCCCAAGCTCTTTGGAAAACTAGCTAAGGATGCACAGAGTTTTAAGGCTTAGGGGTTTAATTTTAGCTTGGCTTTCATAACCTGAAAATGTAAAAATTTCTTCTTTATTGTCACTGTAAGTACCCTTTTCCCAATGCTTTGATAGTTGCTTAAAAAATCACCAAGCATCCAGGGGCTTACATGTACCTTGTAACTAAAGTATATGTGGAGTACTTTGTAGCCAGCCTGTGCCTACAGGAAGCATTGTACTCTGCCAGCAGTCGTAGGATGGTCAAACAAGGAGGTACAAGCTCCACCCTTGGGTAGGGTGTGGTTGAAGAGTGTAGTGGGCCATGTTGTTCCATTATTTCTAAAAGGATGGCTATGCACACTTCATCTGTGTGTTCCTTCAGAAGAGGTTCGTGCCACTGTGGGTCTAACAAAATGCAAGTCACAAAAAAGACTGAAGCAGAGAACTATTGAACATTGCAGTGAAGGAGAGAATATGATATAATAATACAAATACAATACTACAATGCTTAAAAAATCTCAGATCTTTTGAGACTAAAAATTTATTATTTTTTTCAAATTTCAATTACAAGGTCAAGAATGAGCTTTCTTAGAATTAAGGAGAGAATATAATTTTTTTGCTGCATGGAGCACACATCCTCAGAGACAAACTTTTGAAATGAAATGAAATGATGCAGTTAATTAGACATGCTGGTTCTTGCAGTTTTATGCATGCAATAAAAAATACGTATAGATCTAGATGCATTATCCGCCAGGTCATCAAATAAGAAATTTATTTTTTCGACTCCTTAATCTTCTAATTTCAATCATCGAATTTCATTTCCGCTTCTTCCAGTTGCCAGATGACTGGTTGATAGTTCTTTTTATGTGATTACAGGTCTATAGACCACAGATGAGGTCAAAAAGTGGCCAACTAGCTTAGCTTTGAAGAGTCCAGATGAAATTTTACCCTTTGTAAATAGCATATGATCCTTCCTTTGCATAGACGTGATAGTGCACACTACTGCACTTTTCAAAAGCGCGCAAGCTCTGAAGTTCAAAAGCTGCCTTCACAAATGCGTTTTTTGCTGCTATTAATCATAATTACGATCACAAGCAACGAACAGCAAACACACAAAACGGATCAAAATCCACCAATCACAAATCACACCTTTTGAGCCTTTTGAAGTAAACTTCTGTTTCCTAAGAGGTCTGCTGAGATGATTGACGGCAGCAAAAAACGCAAATGCAGTTGGGTTTGGAACTTCAGAATTCACATGTTTTTGAAAAGCGCAGTAACAATGGTGATCAGAGTTCTCACTGGATTGCAGATTAATAAAAAATGACAGGTTATAAGAGGGGTACTAGTTTTGCTTAAAATTGACAGCAATAGCTGAATCATGCTTAAATAAATAAATAAATCTTTGATATCTGTTTCTCATACCTTGTAAAATAATAGCTAGCTGCTGAGCCGAAGACTTCCTTAATGCCACATCTAGGGGTGAAGAAGCCAATATGGACTGTAGGTTAAGAACTTCACTTGTATCCACACTCGTATGTGATACAGGAACATGTGCATTTACAGCAGAGGTAATCTGATCCACGATAAATAAGTCTGCAGCTTTCTCTGCATGGATTCCATGAACCAAGCTCTTTCTTTTTTCACGACTTGCTTCATTTGTGAGACTCCATACAACTGATTCAAAGCCTTTGGTCCTTAGCTTAGAGTCAGTGACAAACATGAGTCGCAGTGCTCCTCTCAGCCTGTCTAGTGCTGGTAAAGTTATTATGTCTCCCTCAGCAGATACATGTCCTCCAGTAACACCATGCGTAGCTACAAGCTCCAGTATACATTGGTCCAGCCCAGGATCTATAAGAACACAACCTTGAAGCTGAGGTAGAGATGCAACCAATCCATCTAGTAACTTCTTCCAAAGTTCTCCACTCATGCTTAGACGGCCAAGTAGCAGAGTAGTGATGAGCTCTAAAGCTAAATCACTGATCTGTGAAAACCAGAATTTAAAGTAAGTGTAACACTTCAGCAAAATTTATGTAATGATTAGAAACTTTATTCAATCACAACTACCATGTGCTGGTAATAGCCTTGATGTAAATACAACTGTACAGCTGAAGCAATACCATGATCATGATTAATTTAGCTCAGAGCGATCAAGATTCTAACGACAGCAACAATGTCTATTTCTCCTGAAGGCACATGGTTAAAAAGACGACTCTGATCTCAGTGCACTGATAGTGATCACTTTCAAAGACACAGAACAGCTTGAAGAAACAAGCTACGTTGTAGGTGCAAAACACATGCATGCAGCAAGGGCAACTGAAATTAACAAGCTGGTCATTGGAGACAGTGACCATGATCATGATGTGAAGGGAGTGCAATAAGGCTGGTAATGGTTGAAATTGCCACATTTGTGATAGATGGTGATCCGGGTAGAAAAAATTATGGCAGTCATACCAACATGATCATGGACAATGTTTGAAATGCCTAATCAAGTTCACAATCAAAGATCAAAATCACAATGTGCTGATAGGCTGGTGTTCAGTGGTGTTTCAGTAGCAAGTGATCAGTGACAAGTAGGTGGTAAGAATAGTGACAATTTTGTAAGCCAGGTGGTCTTTGTTCTATTTGAGCTACCTTGATTCATGAAAAAGCCCTGCCCAGAGAATAAGCCATTTGTACTGTACACATCATACCTTTCCTTCATCATCATATACTCCAAAGCAGCAGATTTGATGCAGCACAGCCCTGTCCAACAGAAACAAAGCTTTCTGACAAATAATGGACAATGGTTCAGTAACATGACTAACACTGCAGGCTTCCTTCACTAGATTTAGCGACTCCTTGTAAGCTTGTAATCGGACATCAGGATCAGGGTGTGCAAGCAACTGCAACACTATCCTGTGGCAAACGGGAATGGCTCTTTCATCTGCCCCAGTTACTGGATTGCAGACATCACGGCAGATCTTCACAGCCTCACAGATAAACCCTGAGTGCTTGTGATAGGTCACGCTAGGCACAGACATTTCTACCAGGTCACACAGTTCTTTCAGAGAGCTCCTTAATTCCTATAGAAGAAAAAGAAGTGTGAAACACTGTACTACAGTGTAGTAATGTATTCATTCTTTATTTTAACTTCAATTATTGTTTATTTTAATTTTCTATTGTTGCCAATGGCATAACATGATCAAATCTACTACAGTTGTTCTTTAAATTCCCTAGAGTCCCAAGCATAACCAACATATGTTTTTTACTAACAATAGCAATTCAATAAAAATTACCAAAGGGAAAATGCTTTGATCTTTTATCAAATTCTGTCAACTAATTTTTCAAGGAAATGTATGGACAGAATTTGCATGTGGATACTGGGACTTAAAGGGTGATACAACCTCAATTAACCCTTTCACCCCTAAAACAAGTTATTGGCTAGATGATTTGTCACTCTGACATGTAAGTAATCTGTGGATGAAATCCTGTGGTGTCACTATTTAAAACCTTTTTGGCAGAACTTTTTGCATGGTTCTTCAAGGCTGTGCTCTAGGAAAAATTAAAGGGAGTGCGGGGCTCTGAACCTGTAAAATCCAGGGTGCCCAGCATATGATTTGTATGAAAAAATAGAAGATTTTCCAGTCGCCCAAGAGTGAAAAAAAGGCACCAGCCACCACCGGACACTAGTACAGCAGCATGCAAAGAAAGTCGTGTCCGATAGCCCGGGGCTAGTGGATTTTGCTATCGGGCTAGTGATTTTTGTTCTTAACTTGCCTGATGGGCAAGTGATGCTTTTTAGGGAAGTTTAAATTACAGAAGGATTGTAATCAATTCTGCTAATCAAAAAGAGTTTGGGGGCTACCGGTAGTTGAAATGACTTATGGGCTAGTACATGCTAGCTGGAGCTTGCCCAAATGGCAGGTGGTAAAACTGACTTTCTTTGCAGCATTAAAAAACTGCAGATTGTATAAATTAGGCTGAAATGTGCCTTTAAAATAGCTTTTATCTGCTTGCTTTGATATAAAAAAGCTGGCATCCTCAGGAACCCAGGGGCAGCTCATGGGGATAGGTCCCCAGTAAACATGCATCCTAACTCGCCACTTTAAAAAAAGAGCATGAAAACGGGCCAAGTTAACTTTCTCAAAGACTTCTGGTAGTGTTACTGGGTGCAGGTAAAACAAATTGGCCGATAGCTGACCAGTGCATCCCCATTAACAGTCCCAGAAGTTTTTGTGGAAGCTAACTTGGCCCAGTATTCCTCTTGTTTCTTAAGTGGTGAATTGGCTTTTCCTCAGTCTCAGAGGAAGGGAAGCTGTGTATGGTCACACAACAATCAGTACAAAGCACCTTGACTCTACAGGCTTTCAAAAACTTGCATGTGCTTGCCATTGACTTGCATATGTCTTGAGTGAAAAGACAGAGTTTGTGAGAATAAGGGTCCAGAGTAGCCAGGAATTTCATTGCCACAGGCTGTAGGTGACAGTGAGTGATAGCCAAGAGTTCATCCATGGAAAGGAACCACATGACTGTTGTAACTTCAGAGGGAATCACTTTAGAAGACTATAACAAAAAAGTTCAATTAGCTATGTCTTTGTCTTAAAGAGATGCTAATAATTTATTATCTAATAAACAGCAAAAAATGTCTCTAACACAAAAAGTGACATAGATGTGTTGTGAGTAAAATCCTTTGTCAGGTTAAACCAGGATTTCCTTTATCTAATCTGAATAATTGGGGCCAGGAAGCAAATTCTGAATCAAACGAGGTGGAACACTGGTTTAATTAACCTGGCAATAGATTTTACCTACAAAAGATACAGTTTGCTAGTAGGAAGTATTCCTAATTATTCCATCTCTGTAAACTGAGTTAAAATATATCATTAAGTTTTTAGTGCTCCACTTAGGTTGGATTTAGTGGTGTTAACATTCAAATGAGTTATACTTTAAAATGGACTGGTGCTGTTTATTGTTTATAATATGCAGTGTTCAAGCTAGAAATTATAGTCAAAGTGGGTCACAGTCCCACATGGCATTTTCAGCTGGGTCATTTCAATAATAGTCTAGGTCAGACTATGATGATATTGAAACCTTGAAAACAAACATCATCAAACAGATTTCTGAGTTCTCCAGCTTCACAACCATCCTCATCCAGCCTATCTTCATGCTTTTCAGGTTCAACTGCCATTTTCTTTAGCATAAAAAATGAAGATAGCTTTTGTTGTTGTTTAATAATGAAATGAAAACAAAATAAAAAAGTCAACAAATGAAGCATGAATCGATCGGCAAAGCAACATATGCAGAAAGTCAAAATGTACGCTCCAGTCTCTCCTGGAATTGGGTCGAATGCCTGAAAAACTACTGTAAGCAAGTAGTCTGAAATGACAGTCATTTTGGGTGCTAATTTCGGCCTAGTAAGCACACCAATTTTTTACATTTACTGTTATTATTGCCTGCTGCTTTAGAAGTACTTATATTTGAGGTAGCTTTTTTTTTGGCGTCAGCGTGACTCCACGATAATTTTATTTTGAGTCAGAATAAAATATTCCGCATCAAAAACGCAAAAACAAGGCCTAGATTGAACACTGAATATGCTGTGCAATGCAGATCTAAAACATCACTGCCTAACCATGACTGAAAGACTGATCAGATGTCAGTCTGCCTGCATAGAGAACATGGTATTCATTCACATGTATAGCAGGCTTATTATTATCTTGTTACGTGTATTATTGCAGCACTATCACAACTTTCTAACTTACCATTTCCAGGGGAACCAAGCTCTCAAGAAACTGCATAAAGAATGTTGCAAGATTTACCACTGTCAATCTGTGCATTGGTAGACTTTGCTTGGATGGTGTGGTATCTGTTTCTCTACGATCATCTTGGAAAAGTTGGATGTAAAATTTGATGTGGTGCATTATACCTTCACTCAACCCCTTCATAATATTTATAAGTGATGTTGCCTGGAACATGAAAGAAACAAGATGAATAGATAGAGGAGAACAATGGCAAGAGGAAGTAAAATTGATTTCAGATACATGTAGCCCTCAACAGTCATAGCACTAGTTTCAGTTATTCAGGGAGGTATTTTCAGGACAGTACTGTATTTTCCCTTAAGGCAACCAGGAAATCATAGCTTTTACACAAAAAGTATCTGCTATGTAGCCAGGATTTATAGGTTGTAAACTAAGAATGCAGCCCAGGAAGTGCTTGAAATAAATGTTACTATCATATAGCCCACATCAGTCTGACAAATTTCCAGCCATTTGAGGGAGCCCAATCTTACAATAGGCGCACAAAATGACTTGTTATTGAGCCCTTATCAGCCTCTGATGAAGAAAAAAATGTTTAAAGTTTTAAACAGTTTTTTACTAACCATTAGGGAGTTTAACTGTGTTCCACTCCTCCAAAGATCAGGAGGGAAAACTCTCTTTGATAAACTCAAAACCCCATGGAGCAAGTTAACAGCAGATTCAATGATGCCTGTTTCTCCACACAGGGGACCTCTGAACATGGGTACTACCCTGGCAAGCAAAATCACGCAATACTCCTCCAAGGACAGTTGGTTAAATTGAAGCGCCTCTGTCACCATATCATCCTCATCATCATCATCATCACTTGCTTGAGAAGCTTTGTTGTCAGACAGATTGGAACTTGACTGGTCCTCACTAAAATTCAAGCAAACAGTTGTATCACAGTTACACAGTCAGCATTACTTGACAATGTTGGATGTAACTTTGAGCACCCAGGGCTGAAAAGGTCCATGTTGGATTTTACGCCATTTTTTACACTTACCTTTGGTTATTCAAAGGACACTGCCCAGGGCTCGCTTTCTAGGGTGCGTGCTTTGTGTTGGAGGACTCAAGGTGCTAAAAAGGGGGTGCCTGAGTGAGAGATATAACCCTATCATCGTGCATGGTAACTCTGAACAAAAACTGAGCTGCATCATTTGTGTTTGCTCACATTAAAGTTAAAAATGCAACAGAATCCTAATCTTTTCCCAAGATGCACTTGACTTGGCATCTGGCCAAAGTATAATTTTAAAAAGTGGACAAATACAGTGGTCCCTCTTAAAGATGGTCATTGTTGGGAATGCCACTAATATAAGTGTCCGTCTTGGCGACGTATCAGCTGAGGAATGGCAGGGTTGACCAATGTACAATGACAGTGTCTATCTTACAAAGTTATCTGCTATGGCATAAATTGACTACAATATTCAGTTCTTAACATTTAAATGGTTTAAACACCTGTCGACTCCTCCATCCCCAGTTTCCCTGACATGTTCAGCCATTTCCTGATCAGTACCTTGACTGTTTGTCTCAACTGACACTGAAATGTGTCTGTACTTCCAACAATCTGTCGAAATCATCAGCAGGTAAAATAATGCTAGTAATGTTTTACATAGAATAACAATATATTGCACATATTTCTTCAACCAAGCACCTTAAGCTTGTCACAGAAAATGGACAAAGAGATTCTGCCGAACCCCTTCTAAAATGTTAACCTGCCCCTTTTAACAGCGCTAACAAAATCAAGCTGAAAACATTTGTGCTTTCGGAATCAATAATACCCTTCTTAGTCTGGTACAGAGTAAAATGTGTTTTTTTTTATCAACAGTAACAGTTTGTTTGTTAGTTTCCACTTCACCACCTTTCATGTTGGCAGCATTTGATTAGGAGTACTAACAACAAATCATTTAACACTAGTTTCTAAACTCAACATGAAAAATTGCACATTGTGCATCTCTAGATGGTAGTTTTGCTCTCTGTTCTGATCAAAGTTTCAAGTTAGAAATTATCTATTACAAACCTTGATCTGGACAGAAGAGCACTGGATCAGACACTGCAGTGAGTCTTACATGAAGATGGTGAGTTAAATCACACAGACATTGCAAGGTACTATGAACAATACTAGTGTCATCATCTATAGGAATCTTGCTTTCTAAAAGCTCCAAGAGAGACTAAAGTGAACAAAACAATCAAATAAGCAGGTTATTCTTTTACATTTTATGAAATGCTTGATCACCATGTTAGTAGTAATCATCACAGTCCATCTCTAATATACATGTAGGTCCCCAATTTGAAGTCAGATGAAGAACGATTTAATTGGAGAAAACCACTTTCTTGTGCCCTACTATTAAGGCTCCATATACCTCACTTGGTTGGTCACATGTACATTTTGTTTCTTGATGTATTACTTCCATGAGTGATAATGTTGCAGGTAAAATTCATTCTCAGGCAGTGGTGGATCAGTGGGAGGGATCTGGGGAGCCCCCAAAGGACCGAAAAAATGCCCCCTTATCTCAATCTGAAGGTCTGGATCTACCACTGTCAGGTTAAACTAAAAACTAAACTGGAAAACTGGAAGCCCGCTATGCTCATGGGCCGCTTGACCACTAAGCATGTGGACCGCTTAACGGCTAAGCTCGTGAACCACTTGACCGCTAAGCTCATGAATCACTTGACCCCTAAGCTCGTGGACCACTTGACCACTAAACTCATGGTGGTTAACATAATATATTAATATTGTATTTTACCTGAAGCACATTTGGTCTGTGCAGGAATATTTCAGCAGGAAAATCTTTGAACAGTACATTTCTAAGAAACTCACAGGACTTAGACACCAGAGAAAAACTGCGACTCTGTAGGCGGCTCGCTGTCACTGACAGAATGTGTCTGTCACTAGCTGACAAAGAGAGCCATGGAGCAAATGTCAGGCTTGACTTGCTGTCACTGAAGCTCATTCCTGCAAATAAAATGACAGCTTGTATGTACAGATTTTTAAGTGGTAAGGTGGGCACTTATTTTTTGTAAAACTTAGACCATTGAAGGCATTACAGACAAAGGAGCAGTACTGTGAAAGAAGAGGGCAGAGGAGGTTGCTATTTAGGCAGTATGACTAACTCAGTCAGTAAAGCCTTTGACTACAGAGTGGGATGTTACAAGTTCGAATTCCCAAGGAACAGACCAATACCCAGGGTCTTAAAACAACTGAGAAACAAAGGTTCTGCCTTCACCCTGCAAACAGCTAGACCTTCTCATGGCTTAGATGACCATGTGAAATGGTAGCCCTGTCTTTAGTGGGAAATGCACAAATAGTGTCCTTAAGTGTGACTGATTAGACCGATACTCAGTTAGACCGATTAGACTAATACTCCAATTAGACTGATTAGACCAATACTTGGCCAATGTATTGACATTTACATTGACAGACACTTGACCAATATGTCGGCTGACACCCCCTATAATTATGACACAAGATCCCACATAACTGCTAAATTCTAAATGAATAACTGTGCGCTGCTTACTTGAAGACGTTTCTGTACTATGGCTCATTTTCCCAGAAGAAACCAGAGTACTTTGAGTTGTATCATGACCTTCTCTTTCCTCAAAGAATCCTCTAACAGGACTTGTCCCACGAGCAGGGTGGAAACCATCTCCAAAAGATGCCAGCTGCGCACTTGAGGATGCTGACTTTGTCTGCAGTATCTTCTCTCTTTGACCAGTGTTTGAAAAGCCTGAAAATAAAAGTTAGTTTTCAAGGCCCCATACTGTATCAGCGTGAAACCATTGATCCATCTTTGATTTTAAACTTGACAAATAGTAAAAACTAAAACAGGTGTGCCTTCCCATAAAACTGTACTTTGTTGATGCCAAGTGCATGAATTGTAATTTGTATAGTCTGATGGGCAAAAAGAGAAACCATTTTAGTCACAATGCAAATTGATTCAAATGTATTATTATTAATGTCACAAGAGGTGCAAGCAACTTAGTTCCAGTTGGGTGAGCAAGGGTAGTTTAGGTGTGAATGATGTTAATCAAAAATGCTAAAAATGATCTTTTGTCATCATTTTAGCCCATTTTAGTTTTAATGATCTGTGGGTAGATTTTGCATTTATGCGCAAGATTAGCCTGCTTCACAGATGTAATCTAACCCGAGCTATAAAGTCTGTGAAACAGTGCCATGTTCCTGGTTCTAGGCCCCCAATGGATTCAACAAATTACCGAAGGTGCGTTTCAAATTTCCCCTCAGTCTGATTGGCAAATCAACAACAGCTTTTTAAACAGGCCCACCATGTAGTATACTCTCATCTTGGTGCAAACCTGGGGATGCAGGATTAGGGTTTTGCTGCTGGCATGAAGTTGGAGTAATCAGGAGGTTTGGTTTTGTCTCTGGCACATGCTAGCTCAAGAGTAGATTCCTTTAGAAAACTGTGTTCTTTTTTTAGCAGAATAATATAATTTTTTGAAAAATTAAAAATAATACAGGAAAAGGAACTCAACACTGTACTCCCTGTACCGGAAGACTGCTGATGATCATTCTTGACAGGGTTTTCATGATCCTTGTATAAACATAACTGATCATGATCTGTTGCATCCTTTTGCGGCAAGCTGAGCAGCTGATGGATCACATTATCAACATTCTGGTACAATTCAGGATCAATATCTTGTCTCAAGTGTGACAGAAACTCTATTGCACCAATACTCAGCAAACCTTCTGCGCCAGAGACAGGCTGAAATAACAGCACAGTATGTAAGTCTTAGAAAGGTGTATAATGGAACAAATAATACCAGGCTACTATGGCTGTACATAAAAGTGCTTCATATAATGAGCACATTATAATAATATTGAACTCCCCAATTTATAGCCTGTAGGGATGGGAAGGGGATCAATTACAACAGAAATGATGGCAGTAATGGGAGCATTGGGAATGGCTTTCCAAGGAACTACCATTTACATTCATCAATTAGAAAGTCAATTTTCTCATATGTATGAAATGTCTTAACTATCTTAGGAAACCTCCTACAATGTTGATGATAATGATGACATGGCAGTTATGAAAACAATCATTGTTCCATTCCTAATAAATTAATTTCTGATGTAGGAGACTTGAAGTCAAGCATTCAGTTCCTATATATATTCCACTTACCTTGGACAAAGTTTCTAGAATGCTTAAAACTTCCTTCTTTAGTGGAGGGCTAGGGAAGTTAAACCATTGCAATAGATTTATCAACAGCTGCCTTTCATGAACCAGATCTGCTGCACACACCAGCTTGTGGTCTAACTTAAACAAAATGTTCTTCAGCGCTCTCACACGAATTTCTTGCACATTATGACCTGCAGGTGTAGTCGCACAGATATTACAGAACTTTAGATTTGACTATGAGTACACGTTTAAGTATGAGTACAAGTTTAAAATAAGGAATTATATCATCACAGTTATCCCTTAATGAGTTTTTATGGTCTAGTGACATGAGCAACGCTGAAGAAAGGGCACAGAATTCTAGAGACATAACCAGCTCAAAGTGTTGGTCAAATTTAACCTTAAAATGCTATGCCAACACATTTGTGAAAGTTGAAGCACAGATAGTGGAAGAGTGCTAATGGACTATCACCTATAGATCTGAAAGGGTATTCTTACTCAACTCTTTATTGCAAGAAACTATGTAATCAGATTCGTATGGCGAATACAGTTAGCATTACAAGAAGAACAACTTTATGCTGAATGCAGGCTCAGATTAAAAAACCTCTATTTATCAGGACTACTTTGCATTTGTCTGTTTCTTTTTGCAAAACTTCGGTTTAAAATATATGCCGATATCTCAAACATTTTTAAACCTACAAGGCAAAAAATAACATTTTCTTAAAGTTCAACCATTCTTTATTAAGAGGGAGTCTCCCTAAAACCGGTCCACTGCCTTTCGGGTCGGAAAATCAATTTCCTTTAAACTTTGCCCATGAATATATCTTAGTCCAAAAGTAACTGAAACCGCATTAGTTTTTGAAAATATTTCAAAATAAAATTTTTCGGGAGGAAAATCGCTTCAGCACTCGGCGGCCAAATTTTCGCAGTGACAAAGAGTGAAAATAGCCCAAATTGCCGAGTTCACCAGTTCAAAGTTTTGCACTTTCAACGATTTTTTTCACTTCCTAGGACTAAATTGGTCCTTAAATGATGTAAAGGACACAATTTTGGTCTTTCAAAAACAACTCGTGTCTACTAAATATTTTTTTTGATTTACACCCACCGTGCCGTACGCAGGAAATGACTCAAAAATGCATATTTTCATCCTAGCACTGTGCAAAATCCCCACATCTTCTAAACAAAATGTCTTTTCAGACCAACAAAGGGAATGTCCAAAAACATAGAAACATAAAAATATGTTGTGATTTTAACGATTTATCAGCACAGCTGATCGACGAAATATGCCTATTTTCTGTTATGACTGTTTACAATACACGATGCAAGGTCTTAATGCAAAGCCCGAATAACACAATAATTCATCAAATGTATCAAGTATTTTAAACTTTTTGTGACTTTTGACATAATAGAACATCATGCAGGAAAGGAAAGCCTTTAAGCCGAACGCATTAATACTACAGGTGTACCTGTTTACAGCGCTTGATCCGATCGAATCGTCTTCGCTGTGTACACAAAACTGATATCACATGATGGCGCCTGTCACGCATTCCTATATCTGGAATCGTTACGCCGCGAAAACACTTTTTGCTAGTCTGACTAAAACTGACAGGCAGGAAATTATCTTATCAATAGAGTATTCTATTATATTTATTGCTGTTTTCGTTGACAAGCTGCAATATCAAGAATCATGCATGCATAAGTGCCCAGTGCATTAACAACAGCAACATTTTAGTTTTCCAGGAACAGGCTCCTATCCATTCAGGTTAGGATTTATAAAACAATTGGTCGTCGCTATGAGCTTTCACTTTGTTTTGTTTTATGTTTGTCGTTAATGTTTTTATTTATTATTTTTTTAAATATGTTTCATATTTCTGGTAGCCCGTGGTATTAAACCGACGAGTACCTGTTCTCAGGTCTTATCAAGCTCCCTGACTCAGGGTGGGGTTAGGAATAGGGGTGGAGTGTGCTTGCTAGCAGGAGGTCCGCTAGACTGTTCACAGTCCTCTATTTTTCCGTAAATCGTCGGTATCAAGCACATTCTCTAACAGGTGGCCTTCTTGGTTTTAAAATGTACCGGGTTTAGCCTGGGGATGACTATGAAATCTACTCTTGGGGCAGCGGACCCAAGAAGGCCCGCACATCTGGACGATTTTACGGAAAGATAAGGGACAGTGAACAGTCTAGTGGCCCGCAAGCAAACATCCCCCTTGCTATTATCCTAGAACAAATACTGTATCTTTGAAATTAGGTTACCCTGCATTTAAAACTGGCGTGCTGGTTTACCTCGTTTAGGGCTTTCGATTTTGACTCTATTCCTTCCGTTTCCGACTAGTAGTTTTAGCCAGGGCTAAAAGCGCCGCTCTGACTCGTTAATATACTAAAAGTTGTACCCCAGAAAAAAAAATTAATAAAAATCGTGTAATGCTAACCGGTGACGGCAACGAGAAATGCAATAAAAAATCAATAGGGCTTAAGAGCGAAAAAAAAAAGTTGCACGTGCAGCACATTTTTTTACATTTCTTTGCCATTGTTTTGCACGACTTCAAAGTACGTGAAACGTCCTAGTTGCACGTTTTATGGAGAAAAAAATCGTATATGTTCCCACGTTCCATTTTTGTTTCACTGCCGCTCATTTTAACCTTGCTGGCCGCTAACATTTGTCATTTTCTCATCGCAGCTTTGAATTTTTTTTATGTTTTTTTCTTCCGCGATGAACTTCGTCTGCTTTCTTTTTTTTCTTTTTGTTTTGTTTTGTTAGTTTCGCTCTAGCTCTTTCTCTGTTATCGGTGTCAGTGTAATGGTAGTAGGGGGAAACAGTCGAACGCACGATCACGTGATTACGAAATTTTCTCGCATCTTACAGGTTACCATTTTTTTTTTTTTCGCGCGCGCGAGAGCTTCGCTAATACTCATTCTCTATTACGGAAAGTGGTTAATTATTAATAGTGCCATATTTTTTTCAAATTCTTGTCCCGTTATTGCCGAAATGCACATATTAAGCTAGCGATTTTCCTGAAAGGTTGTGAATTCACAGTGAGCCCGCGGAAGAAAAATGAGTGAGTAATAATAGGCAGGGTACAAACTCACCGAGGTAGAGTCGTTTTAACTTCTTCTCGCGTCTTTTCCAACAATCTTTTTCACTACACAAGAGCACTCTACAACCATTTTAGTTATCTTTTGAAGAAGATCAGGTTTCCAGGTTCTTGTGCCAAATGAAATCCCAAGCAAATTGCTTTTGAAAGAAAAAAGAGTGATTTCTGTGAGCCATCTCGCACATACATCAGAGGACGTTTGGCAGCAATTGTTTCCACAGCTTCGCTGCCATTTCTTTCTCCAGGTTCCTCATCGTCCGCTTAGTATGTATAGTCTTTTTTTTTTTTTTCAAATGATTTTGTTATAAAAATATTGCGAAAAAAAATCGTTAAATTTTTACTTTTGAACCACTCGGCTTTGGTACACATTCGTGTGCGATCTGCGTTGCCAGCCCTCTGCCCCTCAAGGGGCACCTCTTCAGCTCAAAAATGGTATACAAAAGGTGGGTTGGACGATCAGGCTGGAGTCTCCCGGTATAACACTTTGTTGTATACCCCACCCCCTCCGATAGGGCGGAAAGGTAAGTTCGCTAATTAGATATATTGGTGTTGTTGTTGTTGTTTTGTTTTTGCAATTCTCGTTGCCGTTGCAGGTTAGCATCACACGATTTTCTTTTTTGCTGGAGTACAACTTCAAGTATATCAACAAGAGCTGCTCTTTTAGCCCTGTCTAAATCTATATATTAGCGAGTTTGAAAGAAATCGAAAGCGCTAAACGAGGTAAACCACCATGCCACTTCACAGTCCTTAAATTCTTTACTAAGTCCTTAAATTTTCCGTAAATTTGTCGGGATCAAGCACATTCTCTAACAGGTGGCTATCTTGGTTTCAGATGTACCGGGTTTAGCCTGGGGACGATAATGATACAGATACAGTATTTGTTCTAGAATAATAGCAAGGGGGGTATTTGCTTGCAGGCCACTAGACTATTGTTAATCCCGGGTGGTACTTCCTTTAAGAGGCTACTAGGGATGTGCCGCTTGATGGGGTCGTATTTTCACGACTGGATCAACTATAATGGGGTCGCATTTTCAATAGAGTTACTAGAATGGGGTGGCACATTTTCGGATTTTTTGAGGTAAGACAGTTCTTCATATTTGCGGTTAGCAAACGTACCAGAATGTTTGTACTGTAGATGAAAGGTGAAGTGTTCTTTATTCTAAAAAATGGGTCAATTCATAAAAATAGAGAGTGCCTAATTTGGGATCGCGAAAAATTACATATTTGCCCAAAAGTGGCTAAGATGGGGTCTATAATTGATTGGCCACAGAATAGACTATAATGGGGTAGGGGCTCTGAGAGGGCAGCGGCACGTACATACATACATACATACCCAGCAAACTCCCCCCCCCCCCCCCCCGGGTTGTTTACGCACTATAGGTTCTTATGCATGCATGATTCTTGATTTTGTAGCTTGTCAACGAAAACAGCAATAAATATAATAGACTACTCTATTGATAAGATAATTTCCTGCCTTTCAATTTTAGTCAGACTAGCAAAAAGTGTTTTCGCGGCGTAACGATTCCCGATGTAGGAATGCGTGACAGGCGCCATCATGTGATATCAGTTTTGTGTACACAGCGAAGACGAGTCCGATCGGATCAAGCGCTGTAAACAGGTACACCTGTAGTATTAATGCGTTCGGCTTAAAGGCTTTCCTTTCCTGCATGATGTTCTATTGTGTCAAAAGTCACAAAAAGTTTAAAATACTTGATACATTTGATGAATTATTGTGTTATTCGGGTTTTGCATTAAGACCTTCCATCATGTATTGTAAACAGTCATAACAGAAAATAGGCATATTTCGTCGATCGAGTGTGCTGATAAATCGTTAAAATCACAACATATTTTTATGTTTCTATGTTTTTGGACATTCCCTTTGTTGGTCTGAAAAGACATTTTGTTTAGAAGATGTAGGGATTTTGCACAGTGCTAGGATGAAAATATGCATTTTTGAGTCATTTCCTGCGTACAGCAAAGTGGGTGTAAATCAAAATATATTTAGTAGACACGAGTTGTTTTTGAAGGGCCAAAATTGTGTCCATTACATCATTTAAGGACCAATTTAGTCCTAGGAAGTGAAAAAAATCGTTGAAAGTGCAAAACTTTGAAGTGGTGAACTCGGCAATATGCGCTATTTTTACTCTTTGTCACCGCAAATATTTGGCCGCCGAGTGCTGAAGTGATTTTCCTCCCGAAAAATTTTATTTTGAAATATTTTCAAAAACTAATGCGGTTTCAATTACTTTTGGACTAAGATATATTCATGGGCAAAGTTTAAAGGAAATTGATTTTCCGACCCGAAACGCAGTGGACCGGTTTTAGGGAGACTCACTCTTAAGGATGCCAAAAATCATAGAAATCAGTTAAATCCTTCCTGCCGAAAAATGCAATTCAAAAACATAACCAACAGGCATATAAATAGGTTCGGGCTACCTTAAGGTCATTACTCTATTAAAGGTGACGGCTAAGTGTGGTAACATTACATGACATAGATCATAAAGGTGTGCCTGAAGTACATGTATAAAACATGTACGTCATTCAGGCCCACCTTATTGTGCATGAGTGTTCAGCTGTCTATGCCTGTGGTCAGCTGTAGTTCAGACATTCACCATTTTCACATAGATCATAATGCACCTTGTTTACCCCCCAATATTTTGCATAACTATTGTCTTGGATTTCTCTTGGGACGAATGTAATACCCAGAAGAAATTGAAAACAAGGGTCATGCAATTTTTTTTTTTTTTTTTTTTTGGGGGGGGGGGGGTAAATAAGGTGCATTATGGTCAGTGTGAAAGTAGTGAAAAGGTTGATACTACTCATATAGGGGACAAGGAAGATAAAATAATAGCCTTACCATACCACTAGCTACGTAAAATAATAATGTTGTTGTTTAATATCATCGTCATTGTTTTAGACCGTCGATGTTTACAGCTTAGTGCGACACGCTCGAGGACGTGTTTTTGCTCTACCAAAGATAAATTACGACAGTAGTGACAAGTATCAAAGAAAAATACAAATTGAAACAAGCTTTTACTCACCGAGTTTGGCGATAAACGGCTGAAGCGCCACACAGTTCGGTGGTAAGATTGCTTGCTTTTTCTCAATTCCATTGTCCATGATTGCCAGTTTCTCTGAGAACTATCATCGGTATTTCTTTCAATATCATTTTTCTTTGCTACAGCGAGTAGCTGAGAAATCTTTGAACAAAATTTTACAGCTTATTAGGAAAACTTTGCGCAAAACTTCGAAAATGGCGCTCGATGTGCGCTACTAGTCAGCGGTTTCGTTTCCCTTGCATTGCATCATGGGTGATAGTGACGCAAAATTCGCCGGCCATATTGGAAAAGTTTTCAAAGTCTGCGTTTACAAATATTGTGGCGTGATTTTTCTTTTCCAGGATGTTCTCTTCTAAATGTATATCGCCTGGTTTTTCAAGGTTTCTGTCCGCCAGTACTGCGCACGTTGCACATTCTTTGAAGGGTTCTCCCGCCGTAATAATGCCGGCTGTTGAGACGGTCCAGAGTCCGCCGGCTACGCTCACCAACCACTCGGTATCAAAACTCTTACCCACTGGCAATATGATCGCCACTACGAAGCATTTTGGTGAGTCGAAAAAGAAATTTTCTTCTGCTTTGAATATCGAATAAGATCCGATCCCGTGTTAGTTTTGTGTCGGATTGCTTTCATCGAAGGATTTTGGCGATGTAAACTTTAAGCTTACGTAATTTGTTTAATATTAAGACTTTGGCCGTTTTTATGAGCTTGAGCAAGTGTTTAAGTTTTAGGATATGACATCTCTCAGCAATATGTGGGGGAAGGACGAGACAGGGGACAGATAGTATGCACATTTGTGCAGGATAACTTCATTCACACGATCTAAGGTCTTGAATTTGAATCCAGCCTGCATACTGTACAAGTTATACTGAAGCCTTTCGTGTGCATGGATCTCACTGCCTTTGGCTTAAAGCAGAATGCTTTGTTACATTTCTTTCTGTGTAGCCCACAGTGACGTATACTGAAACACAGGCAAACTGGTTTTAGTGCAGAATACCCTACACTTCCTCCTTCATACCCTAAACTTTCTATGGTAGCCAGGAAGGGATAAAACCTTACTGACACAACAGATACAACCAAGCTTTTTTCTTTCAGTCCTCCCTTAACACCATTGTAAAGTTTTTGTTCAATGAAATATGAAACCAGAGTTTTTTTTCTTTTCAGGAAAGACTCAAGTCAGATTCAGCCACACAGATGTTTCCATGCCTGACTTTAATGCTTATAGAAGAGAATCCTCTATGGACCCTACCAAGCCTAACACTACAGAAATTAGCAGGCGTGCATTCACTTATCTCATGGTAGCTGGAATGGGTGTCACAGGTGTACATATTGGAAAGAATGTCGTCATTGACTTTCTTTCCACAATGAGTGCCTCAGCTGATGTCTTGGCTATGGCCAAAATTGAAGTCGATCTTACAACCATTCCTGAAGGTAATAGTGGTAGAGAACAAGAGAGCGGAGCTGTTGCATAACCTTAGGTGTTAACTTGGGTCACCCAGTTAAGGATATCAGTCTTGGAGCCAAAATTAAATGTTTCACAAGAATTATTATACATTGTACTCACTATCTGTCTTCTCATTGGCTAAGAGCCTACGGTTAATTTTGGAAATCAGCACAACCTATGGATTAGTCAGTTACCTGCTCGCAGATAACTGACTAATCTGTAGGTTGCGTGCACGATGAATGATTTCCAACTTCCAGTGCAAAGTGTGTTCCATGGAAAGCTGTGTTTGTCGTTATTTTCTTGAAGACAATGTTAAGTAAAACAATTATTAGACTCAGTTTTTGTGATATCCTATGTAATCAAGGTCTCGGTAAGTGTTATCAACCTTGGCCTTTGGCTCGGTTGATAACATTTTCCTCGACATTGATTATGCCAGCAATCACAAAAACCTCATCCAATAATTGCTTATAATTTTGACAGTGTATGGTCAAATAAAGTAAAGGAGATAGCTATACAATCAACTCTGCTTTAATGGACTCCTTCATAAGGTGGTTATCTCCCTTAAAACAACACCTTTAGAGTTGGTCCCTGCGTTTGTTTCGTCATGTAATTTGACTTGGCCGACACCTGTCTATGGTGGACACTTAGCGCTGGTCGCAATGGAGTCTCTCTTAGATATGGTTGGCTACATGTCTATGAGCCTGACACCTCCCCAAAAGGCAAACCAAAGTTTCTTAGGCATTTTTTCTTACTCTCCATAACAGAGACTCCAGTCTAAGATAGACACCTAGTGCCAGTTTCAGTAGTGTATGCCATCAGAGAGTTGACTGTATATCTGATGAAGCATTTCGCTTGTTTAGTTAATTTATAGCCTGGACATAGAAGACCTAGACTGATGACATTTCACCCCTAATTTAACCAATATACCTGTCTTAAAGTTTACTGTCTACCTGTCTTCCTACTCATGTCGTAACTATACAAACCAGAATGGTGAAATTCAGGTCTCTGAAACTCTTGTGCTTGAGGTTCAATGGTTTGACTTAAACAACATGATTTTAGCAACAAATATTTACTGGAAATATTCCGTCTTATTAATTTTATTCAGGCAAAAACATGGTGTTCAAATGGCGTGGAAAACCCTTGTTTGTGCGCCGGCGGACTGCTGATGAAATTGAGGATGTTCGCAGTGTTGATACTGCCAGTTTACGTGATCCAGAAGATGACGCAGTGCGAGTGATAAAAGATGAGTGGCTTGTTCTGATCGGGGTTTGCACCCATCTTGGTTGTGTTCCTATTGCCAATGCCGGTGAGTACGGAGGTTACTATTGTCCCTGTCATGGATCTCACTATGATGCCTCTGGAAGGATCAGGAAGGGACCTGCGCCATGGAATCTGGAGGTAAGAAATATCTCTGAAATACAATTGAACCTTTCCACAGCGGCCACCTTGGGAACAAAAGAAAGTGGCCATTGCAGAAAGGTGGCCAATGTAGAGAGGTTTAAACAAGAGTCAATGTTATTTGTGTAGGCTGTCTGCCATAAAAAGTGGCTGTTGTAGAGAGGTGGCCGAGGTAACCATTAGTGGAGGGTTGACTGAAATAATGAGGACTACTAGGTCATTAAAATGTAATAAAATGAAATGCAAAGAAGATTATCCCAATTAAAGGCACAACATATACATTAATTTGCAAAAAGAAAGCCAGTTTATTCGTTATTTCATCTTTAATCTTTTCCGGGTATTTTTCGGACCAGTTTAATGACCAGCTCCCAGTTGGTTTGCTGGCTCTTTGGTTATACACTGTACCAGTGTTGCATAGGTCAGGGTTCGAATCCCAGCAAGTCTTTTTTGGGGGGCTTTCTAGTCATGACTGCATAAATTGCATCTTTAACTGCGGTGATCTTCTTTGCATTTATTTCTTCATTCCATGGTTCCAATATATGAAATTCACATTTTCATCATTCCAAGTTTCTGTAAGTTGCATGCAAACTGTCGTACCCACGATACCTTTTAGTCACTTTGTTTAATTAATGTTTTCCGAACATTTGGCTACCATTTCATTTCCTTGTGTGTTGTATCAATATATTGTCATAAGCATTTAAAAGAATACATGTAAAAATACTTTACCCTTTCCAGCTAAAAATTTAGAGTTCATAATTTTACAAGGGATCAAATTATTTCAGAGTTATAAAATATCCAAAAATCTTACCTTGGCAAAGCGGAAAAGCATCTAAGAGGTACCTGTTAACATTACAAAGTATTAAGGATAGCTTAGGATGGATGAGTTGAAATGGATTACAAACAGCAAACTATTTCCATAGAAGCTTAGCAATATGACATCATTCCTTTAACAGTGGTTTTTTTTTCTCATTCAATTCTTTTGGTTTCTCCTTTCAGGTTCCTGAGCACAGTTTCCTTGATGAGAACACATTGATTGTTGGATAACATTCAACTGCAGCAAAACAGCCAAACTAAAATTTACTAACAAGTTTCAACAACAAGAAAACAATCATTATTGTACAGTGGAAGAGATCATTTTTGGTACCGAGAACTTGACGAACATGATAGACAAATCTTGCTTTTGGAAATTATTAAAACGTTTGCGTATCCCTTCTCTGTATCAGGTGTGAAGGCATAGTAGAGATTGGCTGGTACATTCTTGCCAGCTTTCACTGGATTTGTCTTGAGCTATGACATGCATTATTTTAAATAAAATAGACTAAATGCATAAACTTTGTCATTCCTTTGCTTTAAGGCCAGTTTACACCTTGACATGTTAATTTGAAAATCTTGGCTAGTTTTTCCATGTCATGGTAAAAAACTTGTAATATAGCCTCTAAGTGTTACTTGTCTCAGCTCCCTCGTTTCATAACTCAGTCACTACAGAATTAGCGACCCATCACTTTACAGTTTACTGAACGTGGACTACAAAATAGGTCCCGCAGCTACTGCGAAGAGAATTTAGCCAGTTACCAAAGAGACATAATTAAGGATGTATTAATCAGGATATTTTGGAACAAAATGGGCAAAACAATATTACCGGCGTAGAATCACCTGACAATCGAAGGCTTTCTACATGACGCTAGGATTATATGGTCCTGTACTCTAAGTACTTTACAACTTTGCAGTTTCCGTGAGACAATTAACCAATGGGTTAGAGTTGTTTTTTTTTTACTCACGTGGAAAGTGCTGTTTTGAATACTGAACAGATTCTCGACGGCAGAAAAACTTTCTAGCTGGCAGTCACCCATCAATCGGCCAGCGGATTCTCAATTTTGGGTTCTGGATTCTCAATAAGCTCTGATTTAAAAGATGTGGAGAAATCGGCCCAAGATACAGTTAACCCTCGGCTAACAACTTCCAACATTGTTGGGAGTTGTTGCATCCGTTTGTACGTAGCTAAAAGTTTGACCGGTTTCAAACTTTGTGCAACAACATGTAACAGGGTAAGCAAACGGACGCAACAACGACAGCGACGTCTACGAAAACGTCACTCTAAAAGTCAATTCGCTGCTTCAAACTTTATTACGCTTATTCCATCTCGTTCAATTCGACAAATGTTGGCAATTTTTTCTGGAGTTGAATTCTAAAAGACTGTATCGAACTTGAGGAAAAGAAAAAGAAAGTCGTGGTCTTGCGTTCACGTCCTCCACGAAACGTGAAAATGGGCATTCTCACGTCGTACTCAAAGTGAAGGCAAAAAAATGTACAAAAAAGCGTGATGCACGTGCAAAGTTGTTGTTTTGCCAGTCTGAACCAATTGCGTTTTTGTAGTTCCCTTTGACGATGCCCGTCGTCGTTGCTTAAGGGCGAGCATAGCGTTGCAATGTTGGGACAATGTTGTAACTATTCGAAACAATGTTGCAACGCTGTGTTGTGCTAAAAATCGTCGTTGCGAATTGTCTCGTGTAACATCATCACCCCCAAATCCACCACTGTTACCGCACAGTACTCCATGTAGGTGAGGTAACATGTGGCTGGTCACCCCGCCTAACATGTAAATGCGATCACATTAAAATGAGAGATTATATGGACAGGCGTGTTACCTCACCTACCTGGGGTCACCCACCTCCATGTAAACAGGCCCTTATAAGCTCCCTTTGCAGTGGGCTTTAGACGTTTTGGACAGTTTTCCGGACTAGGAGTCAATGTACACGTTAAACATATGTGAAGAAGGGCATGAGACTTTGAAAAACTAGCTAAACGCGTAAAATAAAGCATAAACTTGAATCGCAATCACAAGAGCGCTTCGGTGTGCAAGTCTAGGTCGTATTCGCGTCGCTTAAGTGAAAACCAGGGGGCTGTTTCTCGAAAGTCTCGATTATTAACGGGCCCGGTAAGCTGTCTCCGTTAACATTAAAGAGCGAGGTTTCAATAGTTTTGCAACTATCGGATTTTGCGTAAGGAAAACTATCAGTTAATGAAACAAAATGGAGTAGTTTGCCACCCGCGCTCCTATTCTTCATATTTCGATTTGAATATTTGATTTTGGGCCCGAAAAGTTATCGGGACTTTCGAGAAACGGGTCTCAGGCCTTAAAATAACTGAAGTTTACAAAGTTACATTTTAATATTTTTGTGATTATCTTCACAGTAAAACTCGAAGTAGTGATTTACGCGCTTTAGTTACTTACCGAAAACAAGAGGCAAGATGTACGTTAACGGAGGAAAAGCATTAAAAAGTACATGTATTGTAATGATTCAATTTGTTGGTGGTTAAGTAGTAATTTGGTTCGAATACGGTACGTATCAATTCTCGTTTTCAAAGGACTGAGCTAGTCAGAAAAAAGAGATGAAATATAGTATATTATTTGAGTCGATATTAAAAAAATCACTGAGTGTTCAGTATTTTTTAAAATAAGATAAAGGAAGGGTTGGGTATACTGGCTGGAACTTTTACCTTTTCCCTAGACGTTCAAATGAACGAAAATTAATACAGCCTTAATGTATAAATAAACTGACTGATTTTGTAATTTTAAAAGTCGAAAGATCAACAAAGATGGATTGAATCATGATTGTCGCAGTACAGAGTCAGTCTGACAGGCTTCCTTCGGCTTTGCTTGCTTTATGTTGTTTAAGATAATGAGGAAACAGACAAATACAAACACTAAAAGCCGATTCCAAGATAGCCTCCCACGCAGGCGCGGAGGCTAATTCCAAGATTTCCTCATTTTATATCTTCAGAACAAAACGTGCTTTTATTTATGTCCCTGTTTGAAACGACTTTCGCAACAGTTTGCTATCCAATTATTTTGGCCCTTAAATTTACGAATGCCGTTTTAACTTTGCGGGGAAAGGAACACTTGATTCACACTTTTCTGAGTTCTGAAAAAACAGAAGACGAGACTATTCAAATAAGACTGATGGAGCGTCAGCACTTTGCAGTGATTGCCAGCGGATGTTTGTCGTCAGTTTTAATACATTCTGGCAACAGTGCAATTAAGTTTTGTGTTGTCCAAGGCCAAATGTAATAAATATCTAACAGGGACATCACATCACTCATATCCTAATAAAGTTAAGATTGAGTTGGCGTTTTAATTACCAAAACTAAACACCTTTGTGTCATTTTGCGCAGCCAGGAAATTCATGATTACGATTTGAACTGACAACAGTCTGTCCATTCTAAAATAAGTAATAAAAAATAAAATTGCATATTTATTTATGTAAACGAAATTGATTGTTATTTTACTAAAAGAAACTTTTGTTTAAGTATCGGCTTTAGGAACATCGTTGTTTGCTTAGAATCTCAAATACAACGAATGGAAAATTATAGGCAATAAATCATCAACATTGCCGCTTTTAGGATAAAACGAATAACCAAAATTAAAGAAAAATTCACAAAACAGCCGCCGCAAACATATAGTTCGTGCGCTCTGTTTTTATATATAATGAAAAGTGGCCTGTAAAGTTGTCAGTCATCATAATTGCCTTGAACGCCATTTATCTTCCGATAGGAAAAGCTTTTATTTTTTCAGCTGTTGCTATTATTATAACTAGAAGTAAGTATAATTTTCAAGTCAGTTCTCGCGTATAAGTAACCTTTATTCAAACTCAGCTCTGTACTGTTCTTCATGCAGCCAGATAACAGCTTTAACAACAACAACAAATATTGTAAAATAAATAAACAATTTTACTAACAAGGTTGATAAGGAGAAGTTGTTGTGTTCCACTTAATTTTTTTCACGTCATCGTTGCCACTATACTGAATTTTAATTCTGAAGTTAATGAAAATTTCCTTGTTTTGTGCATGTTTTATCGCTGGCGGCTACTTACCTGGCTGATGTTTGCTGTCTAAGTAGTTGAAAGATGAGCTGACCGTTAAACCGTTAAACGGTAGCGATAGGAGACAAAAACATCATAATTTTATCATCCGAAGAATCTTCATTTTTAAAGCGACAGCTAAAACTGAAAATGAACATTTAAATAATTTAAATAATTTTTGAACGATGAGAATATGCAATGAAATATTCATTGTTTATGTTATGTCTACGACTCTTTTATTTTCCTTTGTCTTAGATGGCTTATTTTGCTATTGTAAGACGTACAGTCACGTTCTGTCCCCGAAGCGCTCTTCGATGTTTGCCCAGCTCACTGTTTGCGGCAGAACTAATCACAAACGATAAATTTGTGGAAATATCCCCTCTGGCTGGATTTAAACAAGACAATTAGTTGCCTGGTGTTGGTAGAAGCCGTCAGTGTTCCTATCACATAGTGGAACGACAACTATTGAAGACCGAAGACGTTTTGTCCCGCTACGATATTTGCACTACTTCCGAGTTGTGAAAAGTACTCATTCGACCAGGTCAGAGCTTAATGTTTCGTCCATTCAGCAAAATATTATAGTCTATCATTTTTAGTTCTTGGGCCTCGTAACGGTCCATCAAGTACAAAACAAATTGTGTGCCGTTCATTTTAAACTCTATATTTCCCTTTCTTTGAGGTTTTCATGACGATTTATTGCTTATTCGAGGAATTTAGCAGAAATACAAGAACGATCTCGTGCTTACCTAACATTAATATTTATATTCAAACTTACCTTTAATTTTATTATTTTCCGTTTCTTATCTTAATAATGCTGGTGGTCACATGGAAAAAAAGGATCATGTCTCACACACGGAATCTTTTATGCAGCTAACTTTACACATTGTCGACTACATCGTGTGCCATTTTAATTGCTTACTTTACAATTGTGCAGGTTCTTAAAAGACAAACGTAATACTTGCCTCCGCGTGTTTATGTTTCCGGATCCCTCAAGAACCTGTAGTCGTTTGATAATTTGACGTAGTTGTTTTCCAGAGCATGGATGGGCAAATGTACCCTAATACTTGAAACCCCCGCGAAGACCAGAGATTCACTTTTTTCGCTCATATAACCAATCGCTGGGTAGACTGCTTGCAGTCCGCCCTTTCTCTTAAAATCCGTCTAATTCTTGCCTGCGTGCAGACGTCTCCTATTTCCTTTGTTGCACGCGGAAAAGGGACGTCTGCGTAACGCCGTCGCTAATCGTGTTCCAGCGTCCCGCTGGCAGGGTATGCTATTTCGCATAAATTGTGAAATAATATCCGGTTAGAAATAAGAGTTGACAGGCCAAACAAAACATCATAAGCTCGTGATACGGGCGAAACGTGACCTTGAGAGTCTGCTTGAACAGAGGTTTTTCTTCGTTTCTCTCTCGCGCGAAGATTACTAGAACTACACAGTGCATGTAGCATTCTAACCTTTGACTGAGTAAATCTCATTTTTGCCGTGCTAAGTCTTCCATTTAGAGGTCATGAAGCAGGTTTGTTACATGCATACTGAGTAATCATTTCCTGTGGTTTATGCTTCTGTGGGTGTTCCCGATAGGATTTGATTTCAGATGCAGTTGTAAAGTGTTTAAATTTTCTTGACCTCTGTTTGTTACGGCTAAATAAAGATTTCAGTTTCTTTGGCTGGCTTTCTCCGAAATGCCTGCCTGGTGCGAAGTCCACGCCGCTTTTGTAGTTTTCTCAGACACTGAGAAAATATGATGCGATGTGTCATGCACAGTAAATTGTCCCTTTTCCGCGTGCGACAAAGGAAATAGGAGACGTCTGCACGCAGGCAATCTAATTCTTGATCTCATTCAGCGCGATTGCATACCACGATGTTATTATGTAGGGATCGAGACGAGACGAGAAAAGACGGGTCTCTTATTTTTCTCTCGTTTCTCGCTGCAAGCGACTTCGCCGCTCGCGTGCTTAGGTTTTGCGTGTAGTAACTTTGCAAAGAAAAATAAGAGACTGCTCGCAGTCTAATCGCTTGCCGTCAATTTCGTGGTTCATTGAGCGAGCTGTTTTCATTTACCACCAAGTGAAAGCAATTTATCAGCTCCCAAGGAATTTTATTAAATGTGGGCGATTTATTTTGTAAAAATTTGGCGCATTCGACACACATCTTACTCGTCAAAGTTCAGACATGTTTCCCGCAAGTGTTAAGATCATTCTCTCTTGGTGTGACACTGAACGAATCAATAAGTTTCCTTGCTTCGGGCCAAAGTTTGGTCACCTACAACCTGTCAGTGTGATCAATACTGATATCAGAATATATGTTTCGGGTGACATCGCCGAGTAGCGTTTACACACAACTAATTATATACCTCAAGTTAACAAACTCGTTTCAGTACAGATTAGCTGTGCAAGGAGCCAAAGCGGTTATGTTACACGAGACGATTCGCAACGCTGCAATGTTGGAACAATGTTGTAACCATCCGAAACAATGTCGCAACAATGTTGCAACGCCGTGTTTCGCTAATTTAGAATCGTCGTTGCGAATGGTCTCGTGTAACGTCGCCTTAAACTGTAGTCTCCCTCGCAGCCGTTTTTAGTATCGTCACGCAACGCTCCTCCTGTGGGGAGGAGCGTTGCGTGACGATACTAAAAACGGCTGCGAGGGAGACTACTTTAACTGTGCCTTTACGCCCCGGGCTTTACGCGTAATTGCAGCATCCTGAAAAGGCGATTTCGTGAGCTTGACAGTTTCAAATCGGAAATTTACGTTTTATCTAGAGACCTAGAGTCAAAATTTACAGTCTAGCGCATTTCATCGACACAATGCTGAGACGCAAACAAAACTGTTTTTATAGAAACTGACACTTTCGGAGTTTTTCAATTTCCACTCAACATTGTTTATTGTTAAGCTCCTTGCAAACGGACGCAACATTGAAAACTGCATGGTATGGTTAAATTTTTCGAACGCATGATGGTAATGAAGCATTTCTCAAATTTGAAGCCTGATAAACATTAACTTAACCCTCAAGCAAAGGAGTTATAGATTAATTATTAAAACTGAGGGAGGTACTTTTTACCGTAGAGCAAACTTTACATTTTTATTTCATTCGCTGGTTGAACTATTTTAAGACAATGAAAGAGAACCACGTCCTCTAGGCTCCGTTTTGCAAAACGTTTAGTTCGTCGAAAATCAGGTTATTTAAAACGCTGACCCACTTTAACGTTTTTGGGCGTTTTTGAAGAAACTTGTGGCCCTTTTGACATTTTAAGGTTGTGACACAAAGTGCATTTTAATGTCCGCTGGTAACAAATTCAACAGACAGTAACCGGAGGAAATCCATCAACGTACATTGAATTATCTTTCACTAGAATTAGCAAGGCTTAATCGCGGCCTAAAGGGACTGTTAGTCTGGCGATACTGTATTTTCCTTTCAACAACAAGATTCACAACTTTTCTCCACGAAATCAGACTTTATAACTTCTCAGCTCAGCAACCGACACAAACGGTATTCTGTTTTCCACATCCTTTAGATTTTAATCTAAAACTCAGTTTTATCCAAACCATGACTGTGAATTTGATGGTTTGCGTCTTGGAGGTACATGACTATCGCGCGATACGCGATAAGCAACCGGCTACAGATAATATCAAAACATTAACATTATGGGCTAAATATCACGTAGCATAGAAAAGCTGGACAAATTGATTATTACTTCTCAAACTTATTAATAACTCACAAAGAAAATACAAAGGAAATTAATGTTTAATGAGTGTTTGGAAAGCAGATGAAAAACGGCTTATTTTTTTCCTAACTTGTCCTTCTAAAATTATTTTGTTTGAGAAGTAATATCAAGCATTTGACACAGTGTTTCATTACCAGTTGAAACACCTCGAAGTTCGTCAGGAATACTCCGCTGGTTCATCTGGGCCCAGTTGTTCGAAGGCCGATTAGCGCTTAACCCGGGCTTAAATTTAACCGAGGTTTCTTTTTCTTGTGTTCAAAAGCATTTTCTCGGGTAATTTTCTGTGCTATTTTTAGAGCTTCCAATCATCAACTTGTAGACAAAAAGAATTAAAACTGAAATGCTTTCTAAGCTTTCATATCTGAATTCAAATATCGCACTAACCCTGGGTTATCTTAACCCAGCTTTGAACAACTCGGCCCTGGTGATGAAACACTGCGTCTCAGGCTTGATAAATTACATAACATTAAGGACACGCACCTCAGAATTGTTTCGGTGGAATACAAAGGGCCAAGGGACTGCCAGAATTTGTTCGCTAAACCGAGGTTTCGTTATATCGAGGTTCTTTTTCATATATTTTACTATTACTGGAGTTCAGAAGATCGTTCTTCAAACCGAGGACTTCATTATATAGAGGTTCGTTATATCGAGGTTCTACTGTATCTCTCCTTTAAAGCTCATAAAACTTCTTTTCCTTTTTTGGTCTCGAGAAAGGATTTGCTTAAACTAAATACTATTACAATTGACATGATGACATCTGATGTGTTGTCAGAAAAAGACAAAAAAGCGTGCTACCATAAAGCTACCATAGTAGCAACAGCCTTTAGGGCTCGTTACTTTCGGGGTGTCGTTACTTTCGGGGACCAAAAACCATGAAAAAATCGTTGGCGCTAGCTCTTTCCCGAAAGGAAAAATAAACAACATAATATTAAAAAAACAAACATTTATTTGTGTTATATGGTATTTGTAACAGAGTTACCTACGTACTAAATACAGCAATACTCTGATAAAAAGCGAGAGCAACGTCTTCTCTGAATGACTTGGGGGAGTAAAGTTAAACTCAGTGCTTTTAGTCCATGACAAACAAATGCGTTTTTTAGTGCAATATACAGGAGTTTCTGATACGTTTTAACTGGAAGACACGTTCATGTTGTTGATATGAACTTTATATCAGTTAAGTTTTTTACATTGTGCAATCTGTGAACTGATACATCATAGCCTGTGTATAGACACCTTCCCCTCACTTCAACGACTAGTGATAGTTTCAGGCATACCATGTTTGATCATGTTTCCCTTGTTGTAAAGTGCGTTATCGCGATAAATTTGCAAATGCACGAAGACATTAGTATTGTACATTAAAAATTTGACTATGGATTGCAACTGGAAAACAATAAAGGCATTCGGTATGTTTATAACGTAAATAAAAAACTTAGTCTCGATATTTTTGGGGGACTCGCTACTTTCGGGAGCTCGCTATTTTCGGGATTTATTAGAAGTCAGAAACTTTTGATGTTATATCGGGGGATCGTAAGGGGGATCGCTACTATGGGAACTTTACGGTAATTCTTTTACAGAGGACTTTTTGTCGCAAACAGTTGTTGGTTAAAACACGAATTTAAATGCAATTGTCAAAACGAATATATAATCAGTCGACATAAAAGTTTCTCTTTGAAGCTTCCACAATTCAGTCATTGAACTAAAAATATGAAAAAAAAGTTTATTGGCAAACTGGAAATTCGAGGTAAACATGTAAAACCAAACACACTCGAGAGCACTGTTCATGAATTTTGGAAACTTAATTTTTTTTCTCTTTCCTAAATATACCTGTATGGCCTAAGGCTAATTTAAACACGCAATTTTGACGCCTTTATTCATAATCGCAAAAGTAGATAAAAGTAAACAAACTAAAAATACCCGAAAAAAGACAGGTGTCTTTGTCTCTTAGCAGGAAGTTGCCAATTTTGGTCTTATTCGCTAAATTAAGTTTTGAACCGATAATTTTCAACTTGCAACAGCCATTCTGTCGCGGCCAGCCGCCTGCGCGGCTTATATTTATAGGGTTGTTTATATTACAACTCTTGACAATTCATTTGTCCTGTTTGCAGTTAACCCAGGATTAATTATAGCTAACCACTCAGACGTCGGCCTAGAAGAAACCTAGCCCCTTCCTCAGGGGCTCACATTTTCAAATTCTTGCTTGTATCGAACTTTTAGTTTTATTTTCATTTTTCTTTTAGCCCCTGAAGAAGGTTTGTTTTCAAACCGAAATACTGGGCAGTTTGTTTAAATATATATTTTTTGTCTGATTCTTTTGTCTACTTCTTCATCGCCTTGCCGTAAGGATCAGTTTGCTGTTTCATATTTTTCTAGGAGAATTACCTCATGTTGCTAAGCAACGTCTTCATTGCGATTGATATCATATTCACTACCTGCAAGAGAGGAAACCCCTTCAGATAACTCTTATTACAACTGCGCCGGTAGAGAACTATTCTCTTCTTTAAATCATGCACATAAAAAAAGAGCGTCATTGCCATGCCAACACCGCAGATAAACTAACGTACTCTTATTCCGTAGACTGAAGATTAAGTCCTGTTTTTTAGAGTTATCACTCATTTCCACCGTCTAAAATGACCTTACAAGAAACCGTTTAAGTGTTTGAGTCCTGCAGTAGAACCTAAATTTTAAATTGTAGTGAGTAATAAGGCCATGTTATAGTTGCCTGCTGAATATCATCCTCACTAAGAGTGTCAGCGAGGCTGGGGATTATCCTGTTTCGATCGAATCTTCACCGCTTTTCTAGCGTAGATGTAGTCACCTAAAACGTGACGTCATAATGATATTCACAAAAATTCTAAATGGGGTAGGAATTGTTGATTACAACTAAGTTTGAACCATGTGTAAATGATTGTTTTACCGTACGAATTTTTTCCGTGGACGGAGCGGAGAGCATTTTCAATTTCTAAAAAAGATATTAACAGGTGAAAAGTGTCACGTGACCTACTTTCTAATTAAATAAAAACGTGAGTTAACCATTCTGGCCAGCCAGATTCAAGCGAGAAATGATGATACAATAACAGAAATACTGTGTGGCGTCTCGCCACCCCATTTTTAGTTTTCTTTTCTTTCCTGGACTCGACCATAAGTGGTCACGTGACACAGATATCTGATTTCTTACGCTACAGAAAAATTAAGGTTACCAATTTTTTCAAGGTTGCCAAATTTTGGAAGGTTATGATAAATTTTCACAAAGTTATGATCATTATAAGATTTTTTGCAAATTAGCCTCAGGCCATGCATGCTTTAACATGCTTGGGAATGGAAAGAATGTCGAGAAAACGTCTCTAAGTACCATACAAGTCTGACTTGAGCTATACCAAAGAGGTTCATTTGTAATAAAGTCAATTTGATTGAGGATCAAGGTCAAGTTGCGCATAAACAATAAGTTAGGAAAGCATTTTTAGTACAGAGTCACTATAACCACCGCAGGAAGAGTGGTATATGCTTCTTACTTTTAAGTCTTAATCCCTTAATATCTGTTAATATTCAATGCAATTATTAACTCAAGAGCAGAATTTCTGTTGATACAATGGTATACGTAATTTACCGTCAAGGAAGAATTCGCTTTTTGTGCCAAAGTCTGGGTTAAATTATCGTTTACCTGACCGACCTTTTTTAAAGTCAGCTGGCTTGGCCAAAAGCGCGGGAGTTTCAACTGCGGTTTAAGCAAACACCCATTAGAATAAAAAAGGTGTTATTGGCTTTCAAAATATGTTGTTGATGTAAAACCTTGAAATGAATCCGTAACAAGGTGAAGGCTGTCGTATTTTTATCACACAACTTTTAATTATAACTTCTAAACGATTTTGATTGAAATTATATAACGCCTCATCATGAAACTTCATGAAAAGTGAGTTTTTACAAAGGAATACGCCAACTTTATTGATGTCAGAAGAGAACAAAAAATATATATTTTTTATTTATTTACCGTTTTTAGTAGAGAAAAATGACCACATATCCTCTTAAGCACAACTATACATTTTTATGGACAATTAGTAAGGAGTCAAGGAGTTTTTAAAAATGAATTTGTCATTCAGTGAGAAATAATGTTTTGATAGTTTTGAAATTTTTTTGGCAAAAAAGGTTTGCACACTTTAAAGATAAGAAAAATGAAAGAAATGTTTGTGTTTTCAGGAAAAACAATCGTTTGTTCGTTTTTGGCGTTAAGAAGATAATGAGGCACTAAGTATAATACGTTTTGAAGAAGTTCATTTGAAGTATTGTTTCTGTGAACTAATTTGAAAAATTGAAAAAAGGAAATGTCTTTGGTGTTATTCAAAACAAGCAGATGGTTTATTTCAATGGCTTCATTAGGAAGCTGTAGTAAGGTGTGAAATGTGCTAAAAGACCACTATGCAGTAATGAAGTAAAGTAGAAACAGAGGGCTTAAATATCAGGAGTACATTATCAATTAAATCAAAGCACAGAGTGTATTATGGATTAGCTAGAAATTTTTTATGGACCAATCACAATCGCGCTCTTGTATGACATCAGCTGTGATAAAGGCATCATGCTTGCTACATCTTTTTGAAAAGTCAACTGAAGATGGCTCACTGGTGAAATTTGCATCCGTAGTTTTTAATATCGAACTTGATCGTCTTTACCTTCAAAGGACCATCTCTCACCAGAGGCCATGGCTGATTTTACAAGGTAATACTTCTACGCGGGAAAAAGTAAAAAATCTCTTTGCCGCGGGGCAAACGATGCCCGTCAAGATTTTTTTTATTGCGCGTTCGCTTATTTTCGTTGTCTCAGGAAACACAACCGGGTGCGGGGAAATGAAATAAAGCACCTAGCGAGTGAACTTACGATCAGAACAACAGTACCCAAACATTTCAATACAAAATACCCGCGGGGGATTTTCTTGATAGTATAAGGCAGGTCGTCTTTTAATTTTTATTTTATTATTTAAGAGGGATCCTTTTCAAATGCATCTGTATGGGAGAAATTGTCGATGTAACTATCAAACGCGCGCGGCCGGTTAAAGCACTCACTATTTTGCGAGTCTATTGAGATTTTAAGGGTATCATTATCGATCTGGTCAGGTTCGCGCACTCGATAAAAAAAGGTAAGCAAGGGTTGATACTTTACAACATCTGCATGTGAATAGTTCTCTTTATCTCTTGTTGACCTGCATGTGATGTAAATTGACTGACTAGAAAAATTGCGGCTATTGAGAACTCGTAAGATGAAGATAAGAATGATATATAAAAAAAGAACTGCCCAACGTGAAATTGATCTCAGGTACCAAAAACTGCTAACAAAAATTTCATAACTGCTGTGTGCAATATTTTCTTCGTTGGTACAAATACATCACTCAGCCGACGGCTAACGATCTATGTTTATTTTACTATCTTAAATTGCTGTTTGCGATTCCTGAGGGCTCAACTATAAGTTGAGAGAGGTATACTGAGCAATGTAATGCCGCATTTGTCATGCTTATACCTGATAGGTATGATAAAGTTATCTGTTAACTGACGTTTGTTTGAAGATCGTCAAATATAACCCAGCAACCTTTTAAGATAGCAACGACCTGCGTTTCTCAGTGTTAAAAATGGCTTTAGATAGACAGTCCGGTATTGACTTTATTTGCGCACCTGTAGAGGTGAGATTTATTGAGTAAGAGGCCATCATTGGGCCGGCGCGAAATAGGCGCGTAAGTTTGTGAACCTGACAGAATATTATTTTCATTCTGGCGTCGAAAGAGAATTTTAAACAGGGTCTGTTTGTTTGTTATTTGCAGAGCAAATGAGTCCTTTTCAACTCCTGCAGCTTTCAGCAATTAGCGTCTTGGAGAAGATTCGTTCACTCGAGACACAAAACAGTAAAACAGCCTGTACAACATGGAGGAAAAATCAAGGTTCTCTGCTCTAGTTCGCTACTTCAGGTCGTTGAAAAAAATGGCGTGTAGTAGCAGAAGAGCTTCTGCACATATCACACAAACTACACAAACTGTCGTGCTTAACCGTGAAACTGTGAACAAAATAACGCGACCTATCCATTTATTGACGGCTTTTATAGGCCATCGGAGTAAACATCATCCGATATTGGGAACATTTGGCCTGGTGATGTGGATTTTGAATCTGGTGTGCCACTTTTCTCTGGATTTCTACGAAGCAGCGCATATATTTGGTTGGGCTTGGGCGACGGCGATAGGCTTATTTTTCGTGTCATTCAGCTCAGGGACGTACATGCTGATTTCTGATACACTTCCATGGTTAGAAGACGGCTTAGAGATTTTAAACGTGGACGGAAATTTCTCCGAAACACTGGCAAAAGCCCATGCCATTGCTTCGGTAAGTGATACATTCTTATCAAAGAAACGTGAAATGAGAGTCAAAGGGCCGGCAGTTTCTGACTCTCATTTGACTACCTTCTTCGAGTTCAACTAAATAATTGCAAACAAATGAAAAAAACAAAACGCTTCGTCACAACACTAACATCATTTATTTAAAAGCACTGTATTCTTTACCATCGTATCGGCGTTTATTCGCCAGTTTCTTAGCATTTTCAAGACGCCCAAATTGACGAGGCCAAGAAAGTGTCTGACACTTGAAGAACCGCGCCGCAATATCTTATATATTTGCTTTCATGATGTGAATTTTTCTTCTCTCATTTATTTCGATTAATGCAAACACATTCATTTATTCTATATTGTGTTTAATTTAAAATTATTGGGCGTTATTTAAAATCCCGCTGAAGATTAGCCGTTGTCTGAATTGATTCATATTTAAGCCAAGAAAGAACACCCTTTTTGTCCTATTTAATGGCTGAAATTGTACTGATATGAGGAGAAGGACGAGTAAAAATTCTTATGTCAACAGACAGTAGATTCTTTCTTAACTATTCGCGCACGAAGTTTGTATCGTGCAACATCCTTGAAAGTCACCTGTCAAAAACGATTCATGTCATCGTTGGTCGTCAAAAAATTAAAACTCTTTTTCAAACAGCTCACATTTCAATGACAATAAAATGTCGGTGAAAATTGCGCTACTTCCGTCAAATTATTATATAATTTTCGATATTTTTCGACGAGGCCGAACTTTGCTGAAAGTAATAGGTAAGTATTTAACAATATATTGCAGTCCTCTGTTTCATATTCGGTTACTTTAACGGTCCAACCAGTAAAATAACATATCAAATTAACGCTTTAATAAAAAGTAACTGCTCCCGGTGAAATTTGCTTCGGCCCGTAAGAATATTGCTGGACAAAAGACCTAAGAAGTTTAGTTAATCCAAGGTGAATTATTTTCATTGATTTGGGTTTACTTAATTCGAGTCTTAAAATAAGTCGTTCAGCGTTTACATGTGATATTATTATTTGCTATAAGGGATATTTACTTCTGCAATCAGTATTTACTTATGCGAATTTTGCCAGTATATAACTACAGTCATTTACATTTTATTCATTTATCTTCTGACAATAGCAGTTGAGGCAATGGCAAGAAATAAATAGTTACTATTTCCGCCGCTGCAAAATCGGTGTTTTGGCGTTCCGGCCAAAGCCGGCTTGACAATTCTGAGACTTGACTAAATTACAAAACTGAGGTCGAATTTAGGTTTCAGCGACACGTGTCGCATGGCTTTCATTGATATTCATAACTTCAACGATCATTTTGCACCGATCAAAACAAATGAAAGGTGCCTATTTATGTGGTTTACTAACTTCATGCAGTGTTCATGAACCACATGAGGATTGCGAACAATTTCAAGATGAGCGTTGCTTCTCACTTTCAGTATAAAATACGGAAATATCTATCAGCTTAATTATTCAGCATTACTGGATTCGTAATTAATTCGTTTTGAAAGACAAAAAAAATGATCAGCAATTATTTTCCTTTCTTGAACCCAGTGGTTTGCCAATAACAACAAATGTTTTTATTTTCGAAAAGTATAGGTCTAAACTAAACTAATCTGATGTCATTTATAGCACTCAGTGAAAATACAAAAGTAAGCTATTCTAACAAACTCAGCTGATTTTGCAACCTTTTGATCATTTGCTGGAACTTATGAAACACTGCGAACGTTTAATTTGCCTTCTAACAGGGGGTCTATGCATGGTACAGCTGTGACATTTAAAGTCACAGCGGCGTTCGAAAATTCTAGAACATGTAGATATTTTAAAGACATTTACGCTCTACGTTCTTTAAAAATTAATGGCTACAAACGATGGGCTTTTTTGCCGTCGCTGTCTTGCATAATAACTTTCTTGGTTTACAATCTCGTGGTTATTTCCTTAGGGCATCGTTAAAATCCACGTAATGGTTGCAAACAAACAAACCATAAAAACATAAACGACTTCCTAAAACAATTCTTAAAGATAAATATCTTTATTTTTCTGCATTGAAAAAAACTGCCGTATCCCACGCAAAAATATCAAGACGACACGGAGATCAAGGGCATCGCAATTATGCATAGAGTCAACTCCAAAGTCGGGATATTGAAAACATGCGAAAAAATAAAAACATGATAGTTTTCTTTCCAGCCAACAGAGGAAAATTTTAAATCTCCTAATATTATCTGTACCTTTTGACGGATCAGTTTTAATCAGAAACGTTAACGCTGCCGCTTAAACTGAAAATAATTCTCCTTTATTTTCCACACAGTTCTAAACTGGGATCCCTACTATTAAGTAAGGCGCGTGTTTAGCTATCAAATATTTGCAGTTAATCGTCTTCCTCCAAATAAGAGTCAACATTTTTCACTGAATCACACTTTTTGAAGTCTAGTTGAGTCCAAACATTGTAGTCATTGAAGGGAGACAAAATTAAACTTCAATTTTATCTCCCTACAATGAATGAGTAGAATGTTTGGAGTCAACCTTACTTCAAAAAGTGTGATTGAGTTCGCAGATATTTTTATCCTACGGACACCATGTTGAGAGTAAAGAACAATAACAACGGCACTTGACACGAGATCTATTATGGATATTTTCTGACGCCCGAGTTGGAAATCTTGAAGCCTTGGAGATGAAATTCAAAGTATGTATTTTTAACTTTGCTGTTCAGTGTTACTGACAATTGTTTAGAACGGCGGTACCGCCTTTTAAACCATTGAAGACTCATTGAGTACATTTAACGTCACTCATTATCATCTTGGTATTTTTAAAACAAAAAAAATCCAAATTGAGAGAAGGATAAAAAAAAATCATTTTCCAAGAAAATAAAGAGGAAAAAGTTCCACTCAAAAGCACCGTTGGAGAGATTTCGTTTGAATGGCCGCACAGCACAGGATTTCACCTACGAAGCTAAAAATTATACTTACACCATGCCATTATCCGTAAGCCAGTATATTTATAGAATAAAGAGCTGTTAATATGCTACACAGGCGACAATTTATAAAAAGGAGCGCAATTAAAAGTTTGAAAGCTCCCGACATTGGTGTAAATTACAACATGTTCATTAATTTCATTAGTTTCAGCTAGAGAGTTGTGGATATTATGTCCTCTCGGTGGCTCACTAATGAAGCAACTATGATATGTAAAACCCCAGTTGGCGATCAGTAACTTCAAATTACGTATACTGCAAAATATAGTTAGTATAGGAGACTGGTTATGAAAGCCGGAAAACATCAAAGTTGAAGTAGTTTATGTTAGGAGCTCCTAGACTTTGTAGTCTTTGTTCACAAATTGTGACTGAATAAATTAATCCGATGTTTCTATTGGTCAGTAAGTTCAAAATGATAGGAATACTATTGAACGTTGTGCGCTGTCAGGTCCAAAAAAGCTAACAAAAACATATAACCATTCCACTTTAATAACTGTGTGCAAAAAAAGGGACATGAATATAAAGAAAGGAGCCTACAAAATGGCATCCTCGGAGACCCAGGGCCAGTCAGTCGGGCCGGGAGAAAAGGCGCGACGAAAGTTTTCAAGCATGGGCGGAAGAGCCCCTGGGTACCTACTCTCACCGGACCATTTCCAAACGGTCAAGCGAATACTGGCTCCTGATTGGGCACAAAAAGTGCTTTGTATTATTGTGCCCAATCGGCGAACAATTTCTCCTGAGTCCTTTTCGTGAGTTCGTACACGACGGCTATTATCTCGCCACAGTTGCCCGGTTCGTTCACCAAGCTTTCCTAACCAGACAAAGGAACTACCGATGAGTCGACGTTTCGGACGCTATCAGCAGGAGCAATTCAATTTGCAATGAGAAAATTCTGTTTCTGAGGGATCACAATGTATCGTAAATAATAGGAAGTTTAAGATGCGGCGGCGACAAGAAATCAAAAACAGCAACAGCTTGACAAAGCAAAACAACAATTTTGCACTTGCATCACGCTTTTACATTTCTTTGCCGTCACTGCAGGATTACCACGTGAAAATGCCTAGTTTCACGTTTTGTGAAGGACGTAAACAAGCAATGAGTGACAAAATTTTCTTTCTCTTTATGAACTTGGATATGGTTGATAGAAATTCAGCTCCAGAAGAGTTCGCTTGCATTTAACAAAGTAAGCGAGTTGGAATAATCACGATAGAGACTGAAAAAATGTGAATTCATATTTTATGCGACGTTTTCGTGGCTGTCAGCGTGGCATCTTAAACTCCCTAATATTTACGAAGACGTGATCGATGCAATCGTGAATACTTGTTGTAAGCTCAAGCTTGTATTTTCGGAAAAGCGTCTTTAGTTTTCGGGTAGACAGTATTTTGAAATGGAGAGTTTATATCAAACTGAAAGTTTCCTGACTGCGTGCATTTCTTTGGTGCATGAACCAGACAAGCCGTGATCGAGTCAATAGCCGTCATGTACGAACTCACGAAAAGAACTCAGGAGATGCTGTTCGCCGATTGGGCACAATAATACAAAGAATTATTTGTGCCCAATCAGGAGCTAAGTATTCGCTTGACCCAGGGGCTCTTCCGCCCGTGCTTGAAAACTTTCGTCGCGCCTTTTCTCCCCGCCCGACTGACTGCCCCTGGGTCTCCGAGGATGACAAAATGGCCACTCAGGGACGTATCAGAGGGACGCATAGAGTATTTACAAGGCCTGGGAAGAGGCCTTACAGGGAATCGAGGAAATCATAGTTAGTAGAGGAGACTGACGGCAAATAGTAAGGATAAATACAACGAAACTTTGTCGAAACGTCAGTCACTGTCAACAACAACAGTCCTATTCAGGACTACGTTCACCTGGGCGATCATACTTAACCTACTTATAAAAACAACGGTTGGGAACTCCGTGACGGTGCACAATCCGTTGTTTTTGTACACAAATCGTGACTGAAAAAATTAATGCGACGTTTTTATTGGTGTAAAAGATAAAAAAAAGTGGAATTCAAATCAAGTCCGCAAAAACATGTTAAGCCTGGTTCTCATGATCACATGCCGCCGCTACTGCCTGCGATACTACTCAGACATATGAGGACATAACGGCGCCGGCTCAAGAAACATCGCAGGTCTTTACCGCCGGCATTCCTGCGAAGTCGAACTCTTGTCAACTTCGCAGGCATGCCGGCGGTTAAGACTGAGATACTAGGGAGTTTTAGCAACGACGGCGGCGACGGCAGCGAGACCGTCAAAACAGCAATAGGTTTATTGAGAAAAACAACAGGTTTGCACGTGCATCACGCTTTTCTGTACATTTCTTAGCCGTCACTACGAGACTACGACTTGAAAATGCCTAATTTCACGTTTTATGAAAGACGTAAACAAGCGACGACGAAATTTTTTCTCTCTCTTAACTTGAATGCGGTCCCCAAGAAATCAACTCTAGAGAAATTTGCCTTCTTTAGACATTTTCACCGAATTAGCATAAAAGCGAAAAAGTTTGAAAAAACGCCAATTCATTTTAAAAGTGACGTTTTCGCTGCCGTCGCCGTCGTCGATGCTAAAACTCCCTACTGCTGGGCTGTTGCCGGCGATTTCTGTTCTCACATCGGAACGGTATTGCAGAAAGTACTGGCAACTATGTCGGAGTCATGTCGCAGGTAGCTCGGCGGCAAATGAGAACCAGGCTTAACAAAGGAGTCTGACTGGTGTCATAGCCATTCCAAGGTAAAGCATCTCGATCTGCACCTTTTCAAACAACAAAGGATCATGAATTACGTGCACACAGCAACTGAAATGACTTGGAGCCGTTCGCAGAAGGAAAAAAATCTTGTTTTTTTCGTTTAACTCGCTGAAACGCTTTATCTGGAGGATGAAAGAGTGTGATGCGGGCTCAGGCAGTTTAGTTTACAGATAAAAAGTATAAAGTATAACCATTTGCTTACCGGCAGCACTGCTTACGGCACAATTGTTTATCAACGCTACGCTTTTAAAGGTTGCCATCAACTTCCGAAAGATCACTTTCAAAGTCAAACAACACATTCATACCGATTGAAAAATCTCGCTAACATTTGTTTCGTGGTTTTGATTTCTTTGTTTGGCAGTATACGATGCGTCTCGTTTTCACTAGCGAAGGAAGTCGGAGTCGAAGTCGTAGTCAGAGGCGTAGAGCTTATGATCTAGCGAAAACAGCGTTCCGATTCTGCTTACGATTCTGTCGCTTACGTTCCGCTCATGATCTAGTGAAAACCAGATTGTCGGAGTCAGAAGGAGAAGCGGAAGAAGCAAACCAATAACAAAGCGAAATTACGTGCATTGTGATTGGTTTATCCTTCCGCTTCTACTTCCAACTCCGACAATCAGCTTTTCACTAGTTCATAAGTGGAAACGTAGGAGACGGAGTCGTAAACGAAGTCGGAAGAAATTGAAATGTTCCGATTCTTCTGACTTCGATACTGTGGCGCTTATGACTCCACTTACGACTCCGACTCCGACTCCGTCGCAGGTGAAAACAAGCCTTTAGCAAGCACCTGTCGCGACACGCCCTTTTTGAACGCAGCCGTGACTTGCCCGCGTGAATTGAGTATAAAAGGTGATTTTGCATTGCCAGACCGGATGTGATTGGCTGAAGGTTATTTCACGGACTTTTTCCCGCCAATCAGAGCAAACAGCCGAACCAATCATGACTCGGTTACACGCTTTTTCCCGCGCTTTGCGCCGGCTGCATCTGATTGGTTCATTCGATTTAGTCTGGTGCGATTGGCTAATGTTAACTGTAAAAGGTTCTCACTTCGATTCTTGTTTGAGAAATTCTAGTTAATAAATGAATCATTTGCTTCATGCATTTACTAAATCTTAATGTTTCTTTAATTTAGAAACTGCCCTGGCTTCTACCCGTCTTCAGCGTGCTTGCAGCGTGCGGGCAGTACGTTTGTTATTTCATTGACGATGCAGTGCAACTTGATCTAGGCAAGCCTTGGCTGAGCGTGCTCCTTAACATCATAAGAGTTTTCAGCTTGCTTCATGTGCTATACGGCTATATATTGTTCCTTGTGATCGTTCTATTCGTAATGTATGTAACTGGTGCCTCAATGAAGGAATTCAGAGGTAAAAACTATTATTTGTTTGTTACTTTGTTTGCCTTTCCATCAACATGTATTGGAGGCGTAGTAGAGTAAAGCCCAGCGCGTTGGATTTTAGATAGATGGTTCCACGAGCCCTCATATAAACTGCCATCCAATTATTTTCCTTTTGTTCATATTCAGGTTCCCATACATAGTTAACGACATAATGTTAATGGTAACCTGTAATGAAATGGCATCTGATCATGATCTAGAGAATGTAAAAATTGTTCTACGAGATCTCGCCCTGATCCCACCCAAGGCTCCGTAGCGTGTCTCAAATTTATGCAGTTTAGTTATTTTGTACTCATAGCAATGAAAACACCACAAAATCTTACTCTTTTCCCATTAATAAGGAGGATAGCCTGTTTCAGGTTCCAACAAAAAAAATTGCGTCAAAACCATGTGGGGGCTCGGGAGAGACAAACAAGGGCGAAGAGTGGGGCGGAAGGGGGGAGACAGGTTATTAAGATCACGACAAGTAACCTTCCTGTCTTGCTGATTTTAGACGGTGTCGAGTGTGAGTTTCGCGAGCCTCAAGTCCGGTTGACATTCCGCGAGGCTGTTCAGCTGTTTGAGCACCGATCTCAATTCATCAGAAGATCATCAGACGCCTGTTTGGTGAGAATTTTTACCTACTTTTCCTTTTTCTTTTGTTTCTTTTTATAAGGGCGGCTGAAGAAACCTAAATTTTGTGTAAATAAAACTGATCCACTGCGGAAAGAAACTAGAAAAAGACATGTCCAAATGTCTGGCATCGCGTATCAAAACGTTATCACGGGCGCCCGTTCCTCGTTAACTCCGTTATCTTGAACTATAGTTTCGGCATGAATTGACCTTTGCTCAGGAGTCGCATTTTCAAACTGCGTGTGGGATCAAGTTCCGCCAAGTTTGCAATAGAAGAGGCGATCACCGTTCCCAAAACAGTCCCATAGAACAATTCGGCACAAAACCGACCCAGGCTTTCTCTCAAACTCAAAGTGGCCAATATGTTTAAGACTCTTCATGAATGGTGTAGAGGTAACAGAACCAAAGGGTAGAAAATAGAAGGAGGGTCTGGGTAAGCAAAGTGTTGGTCATTAAACGAGACTACAAATTAAAACAGGAATCGTAGACCCAGTTCAATGTCATCTCGTAAATTTTTTACAAGGTCTTGCTTATGGCTAATTATTCAAAGGCCTCCTATCATTACTACTGTAACGCATAAGCCCTGGAATCAAGTTTAAATATCTTAACCACTAATAACTGGTTTGCAATTTTTTTTTCTGTACTCTTTCTAGTTTATACTGTGTAACCTCGTCCTGACGACAGTTCTTTCGTTTGTCATCAACGGCTACAACTTTTTATTCTTTAACCGACGAGCAATTTATCTTTGGTTTGCGTTGGTTCCCATGCTATGGAGCGCAGCACCGCTGATCTTAGCAGCGTGGGCGACAGAAAACTATCAGGCTTATGTTGCGTCGGTGGTTAGATCCTGGGGCGAGCATCCGGAATCGGACGAAAGTGAGTCGGAGGGGGAGGACATGGACGAGTATCAAGAAGCGATGAAAAAGCTCAAGGTCAATCGTTCTCGAAGCGTTCTCATAGCCAGCACAAATTTATTAAAAACGCTCACGCGCAAAAGACTCATTTTACGACAAGACAGGCGTATGTCTGTCGCAGCCATGAGAAGAGAATCACAGCTTAGCGAGGCCAGAGGCTCCCTGGTAGACGATGCTTCATCAAACGGAACCAACAGAAACCTCTTGGGAATCCAAAACCCACTACGATTGGTGGATATGGAGACCGGAAGTGAAGACACGTTTGCGGACTCACCGATGCCTTCGACTTGCATTCTAAACCCGAGTTTCACACCAAACCCAATGAATCCGCCTTCTTCGGGAGACAAAAAGAAGAAAAGCAAGTTTAATTTCAAATCCTATGTGATGTACCTACAGGGACTTATCAAGGAAGTTGGGTTTTCCGTAGGGGGAATGATCCTAAGTTGGGAAAAAGTTTCCAGTGTTGGAATATTGTGGGTTTCGGTATTGGCAATCTTCATTCAAGAAATCGTGTTTGGAAACAGAAAAAGCACACTGCTGACGTGACACAAATACAAAACACTTTTCACAAATTTGTAAATAGTTTTGTACCGAATATTACCACCCGATGCACACGTGTGTCTTAGCCGTCACCGATACATCTGTTGCAGTAATATTTTTGTCTCAGTTAATGTTTATTTTTCCATTGTTTTCGGGTATGGTGATAAATGCTAAAGAATTTGAAACAAAGAAAATACAAAAATTAACTGAAATAAAAAATTAACTGCAACACATCCAAGGCAATACATTTTTACGACAATGGGATGAAAACCTATTTACGGAGAAACCCCAAATCAAATTTGATCTGCGCGCAGGAGTTTTCCTGCGCATGGCAGCCGTTTAAGGCTGACACTCTTCTTCCGCCGACCCACCTGCGTCATGGCCGCCGGTACTGCCTGACATTGATCCAAATCAGTAGTGCAGAATAGAAGTTGACAGCCACAGATGCAATCCGAGTAGTCTAACCACGCCTCAGTGTGTACAATAGACCATTTCAGAGTTGCCCCAAGCCTCTGTTTCAAAGCGAGGTTAAGTGTAAAGCCATTAATATGAAAATGTTTTTTTATTCTCATATAAAACTTATTTTCACTCAGCCTCGTTTTGAAACTGAGCGTTTTTGGAACTCGGAAATGGCCTTTTTCGCGGTAGAGACCTACGGCAGTTCTTATAATCAGCGACGTAAACTCCCGTACGTCGGAACCATATCCCAGCAAGCAGTAGTGGCGGCTATGTCGCGCGGCGGCCTGAAAGAATCACGCTTTACTTCTGAGGGGTGGTCGGTGCTTTACCATACCTAAGTAATGATTTATAGTCACGCTACTATTGGTCACTGGATCAGACAAACTTTAGGGATGTTCTGATCTAAATCAAGTTTTATGGTTTACAACGTGTAAAATTCTGACTACAGTTCCGCGGAAAGTCAACCCAAGGAAAGAGAAAACATTTCGAGGCTGGAAAAGTAATGTAATGTCTCGACAAACATTTTCAGAAATACTTTTCATTCCATTCAAAGATATTTTACAAACATATATACAATTCCTAAGATAAATAAAATTGTAAAAACCCTTAACTACTGCATTTCTATTCAAAAGGTGACCACTACACAAAATGATGAAAACATTCCGGAGGGACAACCTGGTTGCCTTTCATTGGTTGGTTACCTTTCATTGAGAAAATAGAAAACAAATAACCTAATTCTGGAAAACAAGAGATAGCATAGCTTGTTCACAGTCCCCTATTTTCCCTTAAGATCATCGGGATCGAGGGCAGCCATCTTAGTTACTGATGGGGTGAGGAGGTCCCCTCCCCCTGAAGTAGATTTGACGGATCAGCGTGACAGCGTGGTCGAGCTGTTAGAGCGCTGGACTTGTAATACGTAAGCCCCAAGTTCAAGCCCCGCTCTGACCTCTAGCTGGATTTGTTGACTGTAGTCCCGAGTTCAAATCCTCGGCCACGCTTGTAAAATAGCCAGCTGGTTTGCCCCCTATCCGTTGAGATTCTTAAATATATTATGTTTCATTTGAATTATTGTTTCATTTTCCCTGAAAAGCCCCAAAAGGGGAGTGGATAATTAAGTATTTATTATTATCATCATCATTATTATTATTATTATTATTATTATTATTATTATTATTATTATTATTATTATTATTTGATGCTCACCCCCAGGCTAGATTCGGTAAATTTGAAATGGCCACCATCCCAATCCAGTGATCTTACAGAAAAATAGGGGACTGTGAACAGCCTAGAGATAGCAGAAAAGTGTAAGTCCAAATACCAAAGGTGCCTATACAACGTTTATTCCACGATCCCTACCCCACACCACTTTGTCACTTTAGGGGGTCCTATTGAGGAGCTCCTTCTTTTTTCAGTCCTATCTTGGCTATGACGTCATCCTGTGTCCATTTTCTCTACTTGACTGGCAAGTTTTTGACCGCATTCCGTACACATTTTATCATATATATGTTTAATATATTCATCCCTCTCGTTCAACTGTCGTCTGAGCTCCATTATTTCCGCTGTTCTTGAGTCTAACTCTTCGTCCTTTTTCAACAACTTTGTTCTAAGTTCAATGATCTCGGATGCCTGCTCTTTGACTTTTTCATGTAGGTGAAGACCCATTTGCTGCAAAAACCCAAAAGGGGACATTCAGTAATGTGTTAGCAACAATAAAATGTAACCATGATATCTACAAACTTGCTGCTCTCTAACTAATCTTACTTGTTAGAAGCTATGACCGCTGGGGCCCCAGACAGAGATTTGATATTCGCAAAGGCTGGCGTACTACATCCTTGTTCGTCGATGGTGAGTCGCTAGAGCATAAACTGCGAGACCACGGTCGCGAGCGACGCACAGTGCTCAGTAACCTAGCCTTTGATTACAAACGTCTCCGCCTTACTTACGCAAACCATGTTGAACAATACAAGCTAGCATGAGAAGAAGATGTTTTGCATATGAAAACTGGATAAACAAAGTCTGCGAAAGTCAACTTCAGCTTCGCTTTCACTCTAACAAAACTTGGCTATGGCGGGTACGTACAAAACTGGAAGCAATTTTCATGTAAGCTAACTACTGATGGATCAAACAATCCTTCCGGTGTTGAGCCGGTAAAATTTTTGCAAAGTCCTTGGAGTTTTTGATTCTGCTAGAGTGTCTCCTTCGACCTTCTAGTGTTTGCCCACTTACAGTCTCGTCTTATTCTGCATTACAACAAAATTAACAGTTGTCTTACCGCGTGTTTTTCTTCGAACAAACTCAGCTCCAGAAGGGACTCTGCCGTCGGTCTACTACTGGGATTTTCAGCAGTCATCTTTAAGATCAGCTCAGACTAAAACGCGAAAAAGAATAAAATGCATAGTGGTAGAATAATTGGTAAGGATGTTTTGCAAGAAGCAAAGACAACCACGATCTGAATACGCGCGCGCTGCTTTAAACATGAAACACATCGTTATTATCACCGTCATCAACAAGATCATCATTAAAAGTGGTCAACGTTTCGATCATCGTCATCATCATCTTAGGGGGGCTTTCCAAAAGTCAAGACTGCGTAGGAGAGAGCTCTGTTCGTCAAACAAGTTATTGATTCTTAAGTAAGCTCTCTTACGTTGGCACTAGCATATTTTGTTTCCTTACCGAATAAACCTTACCTCTTCAGGCCACTTATCACAAAACTCCTGAGGTAGTTTGCCTTGTCTGAGGTCCTTAATGTTCGTTACTCGTTCCATCTCCGTGCCAAATGCACAGAGCAATTCAAACAAGATGATCCCTAAGCTAAAGATATCCGCCTAGACGTGAAAAAAGGAAAGTAAAACCGACGTGTTAGAATCGTAATAACCACTTCGAAGAAAAAAAGAAAACTGGCTCCTCTTACAACCGGTCCAGATGCTCACTGAGGGCGCGCGCTTCTTTGTAGGCTTTAATCCATCCTTCCAAATAATCGAATGAACAATAAACGTACTTGAAAAATGAGGAGGGAAAAATCAAAACCACCGATCGTCGCGTGGACGAGGGTGAGCAAGTGTGGCGCAATGGTGAGAGCACAGGCCTCCCACCAATGTGGCCCGGGGTTTGAGTCCCGGCGTTGACGCCATATGTGGGTTGCGTCGGCGGTTGGTTCTCCCTTGCTCTAAAGGGTTTTCTCCGGCTACTCCGGTTTTCCACTGCCCCTCAAAAGCCAACACTTACAGTTTCCAAATCGATTGGGAACGCACGGAAACGTTTAAACAAGTTCTGAGGAACTCCTAAGTGACTCGGGCAAAAAATTAAACTATAATTACATACTGGGGAAAAATCTCCGGATACGTGTGGACAAGGCCTTCCTTAGTCAAGACTCAGAATCCGTAAAGGACTGCTTTAAAGCAATATTTCGAAAGCCACAGCCGTTAACTAAGGATTATTATAAAAATCGAAACTCAAAGGGTGGTTCTTTACCTTGTTGTCATAATTAGTGTTCCTCAGCTGTTCAGGCGAAGCGTACGTGCAGGTACCCACACCGACTGTTGGGGCATCTTTACCCGAAAATCCTGAAAAATTATGGGAAAAAGGAGTGGATTAGTTTATTTAAATGACCGATAGATACTCGATGTTTCATTCACGTACTCAAAGCCCATGTTTCATCCAAAAAACACGCGCACTAGAGGTTAAGGAGAGCGTTTACGGCCAATGGCGAACGGAACTCAAGGTTCCCCGGCCTGCGAGCAAGCTCACCAGGGCGCTCTGGCGGCGGGGCGGGAAAACGAAGGAGAGCTTGTAACTACGTCTCTGGAATTTGAATTCCACCTTCAAATCCCCTGTGGCTCCACGTCGACTGAGCTGTCAGATTTCCGCCAATCAGCGGGAAGCGGAAACGAGTGCGAATGTAACCAAGCATTGAAAAACACGTGCCAAAGGTAATGACCTCATTACTAATGTCATCTCCGCCAATAAGAATTTAGCATCGATGTTTTCGATGCAGATATTCAAATTCCAGAGATGTAGCTGCAAGCTCTCCTTCCTTTTCCCGCCCTGCCGCCAGAGCGCCCCAGACAGCTTGCTCGCAGGCTAAATTAAGGTTCCCTTCTGCGATCTACCATGAGTTACACGAATTTTTGCATAAATTTTACCTCAACACGCAAGAGAAGAATATGCTACTGTTCGCCACTTTTGAGACGAGAAGGAAACTGAGCAAAGTTTGATTTCGCAAGGACTTATGGGACTGTTACAGAGGGCAGTAACTGGAAACGATCCCAGAAACCACTGCGGGATGCATTTCGGCTCCAGTCCCCTTCTCATTTCTGAAGTGACCAATTAGAACAGAGCCTTCCTTTTGAGACTTAAGGTCAGCTAAGTTAATTGAAAAATTTTCCTACCTGGCGGAAAGATAGGAGTAAGCGGCTCAATTAAACTGACCAGCGGACTGCTTCCCCCAGGACTCACGACCACTTCTTTCCGAGCTAAACCAAAGTCTCCGATTTTAACCTGGAAAATAGTTGGTTGACCCCCTGTTTCATGCCGGTGTCCCTGGAGGAAAATGTTTCTTGGCTAGAAGAAAACAATAAAACAATAACAACAACCACAAATTTAGCCACGAAAATGATTGAAGAATAACAAGAGCTCATTCTCTCTTAAGCATAATGTATCTGCGGACGTCTGTGAGCGGACAAAATCTTAATGGAGTGACCAATCAAGTAAGACCTCTTCAGCAGTACTTTCACAGGGTGTTATTTATTTTGTACGTAGTTCTAACTTTTGAGTCTGTGGATGAAACCCTATTGTGTTACCATTCAAATGAAACCTTTTCAGCAGTACTTTCACTTGATGCTATTTATTTAGTATGTAGTTCTAACTTTGAGTCTGTGGACGAAATCCCATGGTGTTACCATTCAAATGAAACCTCTTCAGCAGCACTTTCACATGGTACTATTTATTTAGTATGTAGTTCTAACTTTGAGTCTGTGGATGCAATCCTATGGTGTTACCATTCAAATGAAACCTCTTCAGCAGTACTTTCACATGGTACTATTTATTTAGTATGTAGTTCTAACTTTTGAATCTGTGGATGCAATCCTGTGGTGTTACCATTCAAGTGAACCCTCTTCAGCAGTACTTTCACATGGTACTATTTATTTAGTACGTAGTTCTAACTTTTGAATCTGTGGATGCAATCCTGTGGGATGACCATTCAAATGAAACGTCTTCTTCAAATGCCTTTGGAAAGAGATTTGCAATTTTAGCATACCTTCAGATCTCTGTGAAGCAGTGCTTGCGAATGAATATACTGCACTCCTTTCACAAGCTGACGAAATATCACCATAACGGCTGTTCTGTCGACTTCATCGCCTAAAAAGGGTAGAATCAAGTTAGAAGCAGAGCTTGCACGCAAAACTCCATACGGGTGGTGGGTTCCAAAAACAGCACACGTGCTCAGGGTACCAGAAGAATGACCAAGCATAAGCATATGTTAATGAGGCAAAAAATGTAAACAAGACTTCACCGAATCAATTTTTTTAAAAAAAATAACACCTCTAACAGCTCACTCACCATTTGACGAAATTTTCTCGTTACGTTTTACCAGCCAGTCTCTGAGAGTTGTTGTACACAGCTGCATCTGTATGAAGAGAACCATCCCCAGGCGCTAAAACAAAAAACAAAAGCAAAAAACATCGATTTTCTTCTCAAAATTAAAAGATCACGAGTCCGTATACTAGTTTCTCCTACGCAACCATTTTTTTCTGTCGTCAAGCAATACTCCTGGTCACACAACCCTCCTGGGAGTAGCATTGCATGACCGGAAGTATCACGTAACGACACAAAACCAAACTGTATATGTTGTGGTGCTACTTTGTCTTCCTTTTGTTTCAAACTTATTGGTTTCTAGATCAAAGGCCTTTGTTTATACTTGGTCTTTATTATTTACAGCTTTCAACACAGTTACTAATCTCAAAACCATAACTGTATATGTTGTGGTGCAATTTATAACCTTTGTCTTCCTTTGTTTCAAACTTATTATTGGGTTTCTAGATCAAAGGCCTTTGGGGCTTTAGAGTCTGATAACTGTGGTCTTTATTAATTTACAGTAACGAGCTTGAGCAACGAGAACGGTAACGTACCACACGTAATGATTAGCAACCGGAAGATCGATATCTCGTTTGATGAAACTTCCACAGGGTTGTCAGAAAGTTTTGAAGTAGACGGCTGAGTTATCAAACTAAGCGGCCAGTCCAGGGATATTTTATTTAAAAAACGCCACCCGTGAAGAAATGCCAAGCAGAGTAACCGGCCGATACTAACCAAGTAGGCGGCGATTTTCGCCGGCAGCTGGCTGCCTTTGACAACCCTGATGGAACGCTTCTGTCTCACACAACGTATCTGAATGCCTTTGTCTTAAGTCCCGCTATACGAATTTGTCGAGTCAGAGCACTGAAAAGAGAGAAAATATTAACTTCCGGTTGCCATTTTTGACGTCCGGGACATCCACGTTCTCGTCGCTTAAGGTTCCTAGTAACCAATAACGACGACATCGTAAGAGGACGAAAAACACATCATGTATGAAAGGTACCTTGCTGACTGAAGCACTTTTTAAGATGTTCCCTGACAAGGCATTTTCACTCTGTTCGCTGTGTTCCTCATCTACGTGGTCGCCGTGATCTATACCTGCCATGGATCCCAAGCTACTGCTGGAGGCCGATCGGCGTATACCGCGCTGTGACGCATGATATGGGGCCCTGCTACTACGGCTACTACTAGCACTGCTTCTCAGGCTCCTTCTAACACGGCTCTCGGCTGCAAAGAAAGAAAGGAAGAAAGGAATGAGTCAGTCAGTCAATGAATAAATGGAAGAAACGAATGAGTGAATGAATATGCGAAGAAATGAATGAATAAACGAATGAATGAAAGAGTTCATAAGTGAACGAGCGAACGAACGAACGAATGAACGAATGAATGAATGAATGAATGAATGAATGAATGAATGAAAGAATGAATGAATGAATGAATGAAAGAATGAATGAAAGAATGAATGAATGAATGAATGAATGAAAGAATGAATGAATGAATGAATGAATGAATGAAAGAAAGAAAGAAAGAAAGAATGAATGAATGAATGAATGAATGAATGAAAGAAAGAAAGAAAGAAAGAAAGAATGAATGAATGAATGAATGAATGAATGAATGAATGAATGAATGAATGAATGAATGAATGAATGAATGAATGAATGAATTCAAAAATCCATAAATTAACGCAATAATTTGAAGTAACTTGTCTCACCATAAGACAATATTAAGGGGGCTTTTCTGACACGCCTTAACTTGGAACGAACCTACTATTTTAGGAAACAATGTGAAAATCTAATGGAACGATCTGACTTGCAATTAATCTGTTTTTTAAAGTAGCATTTTAATTGTAAATAAAGTGTATTGTATTTTTACGAATCATTCTATCCTCTCATCTGCATTTTTATTTTTAAATCACTTTATGCGAGACTGAGTTATAAATTGGAATTTTAAGTGTACTTGTATGTTCGTTGTATGCATCGTTACCGAAGTCGGCTAGATCATAAATTCCGGAGGATTTGACTGAAATCACTCCTCTAGGGCCGAAATAAACAGTTTAAGTTACAAATCACAAATTTCAACAGAAATGTCATACCCTGGGAACTACGCTGCTGACTCCCTGTTCCAATTGAGTCAATACTTGATCTATGAGCTGAAAACACGATGCCACTATTGGAGGGATCCTGAGAGGAACCCTCGAACACAATACTGCTTTGACTGTCTGTACTCACTTCCATTATTCTGAAAAGCATAACAGAGATACTACAAGTTGTTCAAAATCTTACGGGACAAAAAATCAATCTTTATCAATTATCACAAAACAAAAAATGTACGTCTGTCGTTAGAGGTGAAATACTTTACCTATGAATACCGTTAAGAGAGGAAATGTCACTCAGTTCCTTAAGGCTTGTGGGAAGGGTGGTTACTCCTAATGACAAATAATTGATAACACTTATCAGCCAAATTTATGACAGTGGACAAGTAAGTCAAAAATGGCCAGGTTCGTGGGGCTACTCTGGGCTACCATTCCTCAGAAGAGATGGTAACCTTTCATTGTCTTCCTTCTTCGGAAACGTAATAATTTTTCCGAGCCATGCAATCTTCTCTTCTTTAAATAAGTGTAATAAATTATATTTACTTAATCTTTTTGAGTAATTGCTTGGCGACAATGAGTTTACACGGTCATTGAATGATACCCCAGCACAGGTGTCGAAATAGTAGTCATATGTATACTATATCAGCATCCATGAACTGGACAGGCTATTTGCTTTCTTTTTGAATTCCAAAACTGATAGTCCAGTTTTCTTTTTCAAGACAGTTAAATGACAGGGTGCCACTTACTAGGTAATGCAGAGTTGACGTTGTCCGTGGTAACATACTCTAACCAGGCTGCATGATATCCAACGACATTACTGTGATTCAGATGTGCTAACACTTTAACTTCTCTTAATACCTATTGGTAGGGTAAATTGAATATTACAGCACACATTAACGTCTTCCTCTTAGATATCACAAGGCAAGCAGGCAGTAAGAAGTGTCCACTTTTTGTTTACTGCACTATTCAAAAACATGCGAACTCAAAAGAAAAAAGTTTAACCACAGGTTACGTTTTTCGCTCCCATCAATCAAAATTGCCACAAAACAAAAAAAAACAAAAATTAATCAAAATCTACCACTCACATCCTACAGACATGATCTTTTGAACCCACTGAGGAAAACCTATGTTCCAAGCAAGGTCTGTTAGGATGATTAACAAAAAAAAAGTAGACATTGGGTTACACTTTTGACTTAAGAGTTTGCATGTTGTTGAAAAGTGCATTAATAAACCCCACCCTCTTACACACATGGTAACTGAAAGTGCTTTTCTAAAGGGGAAAAGTATCTAAACAAACATTGGGTTGAAAGGTAAACACTCAGGTAACTCACACTGGATGTATTTAAAGCATGGTTCAGGGGGTTCATACAAGTGAGAATAGACTTGTATCTCCCTTCTTTCCCACACCTAAATAGTCAGGTTTTTGTTCTCTTGTCCAGCTTCTCACACAAGCTATACTGAACTCACTTCTACAGTGGAGGCTGAAGATATTTAACAACACTCACCTCTAGCAGGCAAAAACAAATAAAAACAGCACCATTGTCCAGTAAAATTGTTACTTTTACCTTTAAACAAAGATCGGGGTCTGTTTCTTTGAGTGGGATTTTTTTCACAGCATACTCTCGTCCATCCAATTTGTTTTTTACCTGTGGAGGTTGTTAAAATAGAATTTAACAGCTGT